CACTCCTACGACGGCGCAGCTAGATCCCAAACCGAGACAGTAGTTATCCGCTCTCCCGTGACTATTGCCTCGACAGCATCCTCTAATTGCAGCAGCATATATTGGATGTACTCTTGTTGTGGCTGAGTTAATATGGACTGGCTGACAGGTTGAGTAGACTTTAAAAATTTCAAGTCGTCCTCAGAAACCTGTCGACATAAAGTATATTGGAGTATAGTTCATGGTTATAATAAGTGTCCGCAGTAAATTTCTTTATCACCTCCAATAATACATTTTCAACTGGCGTTTTTGATGGCAGGATATTATGACCAGCCTGTAAGTCAAATAGTGAATACATGAATTATATTACATTTGCAAGAGTATGAAATATCGTATTACAATTATTAACGCGAACGCGTACGCGATAAACGAGCAAAAAAAAAAACCAAAGTCCAAAAATAACCAAGTTCTTAATGTATACCCATAGTCACATGCCCGCACTTTTTTTTTTTGGGAAATGAGCATATTTGGTAGGGATAAGCGCCACTGACGGGCCGTCCAATAAGGGTCAAAGCTGATGAGAAAAATTCATGTGACTGCCGACAATACTAAGTTACTATAAAATGAAATCTTGTGAATGCAGAGTTTCCAGAACTTGAAAAGATTTCTGAGACTCGAAAATCACTTCCCGATTACAGAGTTCTGCGGCTGCTGCCATTAAAAACACCAGTTGAAAATGTATTATTGGAGATGATACTGCAGACTAAGACAGACACTTATTATAACCATGAATATACTTTAGGTCGATGATGCGTGTGAGTTGGAATGCCCCGCCCATACACCCGCGTGAGTCGTGAGGCGTTTGCCAGCGTCTGCTTAACAAGCTTGCAGTACGTTTATAGAGTTAACTAAGCACTAATGAGTCCTACTACTACTATTATGCAGCGTAGTACCTCTGTCTGATAGTTTATCACATAAATAACACATGTAACACTAATCTTAACTACTACAGGGACTGTACCCCCCTGAAATTTCTGTGTGTCACTTTGTTGCAACATACTTTATATTAGGGGTGCCACAACTCAAATTTGTGATCGATCCAGTCCACCAATCTTTCTCGCATATTAATATTGATATAACACGTTCGTCATGTTTTTATCGTCCACACCCTCTTCTTCTAATCGCGCGGTCCTTGGACGAACAAATAACCCAGGATGGCCTCAAAACCCAAAGTTGACCCAGCTGTCGCGACACAGCAAATAAAACGCATCAAAGAATTAAGCGAACAACTTGTTTCTCAAGCTTTTGGCGTGAAAATGATGGCTCAGAATGCAAAGACGCACAAACCAGACTGCGTATCCTTTGCTAATAGAATCCAGTTAGCATCTGAGAGGGCGGCAAATTTTGCCAAGAAAATTGAAGAAGACTTACCAGAAGTTGTTGCTATGAAATATGATCTGGAAGCTGCTACGGAAGAATTGGAGAAATCTAAAGGTGAGTTATTATTACCAACTATAATGAAAGTCTTTAACTTGTTAATTACCTGCTGTTGGTTATGGCTATTCACAATCACCGTCTTAATTACCTTAAATCGCTATTAATTAATGATTGACAAACTTGTTTTTAGAAATATTTCTGCAAATTAAGATGTTCGTTCAGCAAAATCAGCTCGCACCGTTCTCTAATCAAGTGGTAAATCAAGCTGAAGACTTTCGTATCCAGCGCCTGATTACAGATTACAACCGTCGCCTGGATAATTGTGTTGGTAATATATCAGTTGCATTTGCATCACACAAATTGCAAAGGTCACTTACAATTGAAGAGGAAGAAGAAGTTCTTAAAACTTTGAAGTCTGATGTGGAAAAGGAGTTGGCCAAACTGGAAGAACTGAAAAGCTTGAAACAAGCTGGTGGTGACGATGCGAAAAGTCAATGGTTGAGGTTGGCTATTGAACAACAACATTTGAGGTTTATACCTTTTGATCAGATTAAGGTTAACAATTTCTTGAGACGTGGAGGGTATGTATAATAGTCATACCTGTACTTGATCATGTCATTATGTTGCTCTTCCTTTATTGTTGTTTAATTTACAAATTTGTTAATAGTTTTGGTATAGTGTATCAAGCTCAATGGGATGATACGCCAATTGTTTTGAAGCAACTCTTTGATCAGAAAGATTTTGTTCAAGAAATTCGTCTTCACAAGAGAGTACACGATGGAGATTATATTGTTAAATTGCACGGAATTACCAAAGACGACGACGGGAACTTGGGCATGATTATGAAATATGCAGCACATGGCAGTTTAAGGGATTATTTAAAGTCGCATGCTAGTCAATTAACGTGGTATCAGAAAGTTCAGTTGGCCAAACAGATTACTATTGGTTTATCGTTTATTCACAGAGAGAGAATTTTCCACAGAGTATGTCGCAAGTGTCCAATGTTTGACATTTTGTTATGTTATATAGGATAATACTTACGCGTTGTCATTGTAATTCCCGATTATATTCGACTATCGAATTTAGGACTTCCACAGTGTGAGTAAAATATGACATTACCAGAGTCTTTCTTCTTTTCAATGTCGCCCACTGATTGTCGGATTTTTTAGGGTAATATTCTAGTAGATGAAAATGGAGGTCCGATGATAACAGATTTCGGTCTCTCACGAGCCGATCAAGTCGCGGTTCCTTCCAATCGATCTTCAGACAGTCCAGTATATGGTTTAGTAGCGTACACGGCCCCGGAAAGACTCAAGGATTCTTCACTGCCATTTGATGAGAAATGTGACATATACTCACTTGGAGTAGTATTCTGGGAGATTGGATCAGGCCAAAAACCATTTAAAGAACAAAACGATATGTCATTGGGAGTTAATATAGTAATGGGTCAAAGGGAGAAATTTGGAAAGGGTGTACCACTGCGGTACAAGGAATTAATAGAAAGATGTTGGCATGATAATCCCAAAGAAAGGCCCAGTATGAGAGAAATTCAACAAGTTTTGAGCGACTTGTTGCACGATATGAAGGAGTTAGGAAGTGAAAACTTGAGCTGTTTGGAAGAGGATGAAGAAGACGAATTTTATGTCACAGCGGGTTTAGGTAGTTATAGATCTACCGAGAGTAAGAGTGAAATTGACACCTCAGACGAAGTATCTGGTTCGTCCGCAACCAAGTATGTCAACGCACTGGAAGATTTGACAGAGAATGACGATTCTTATTGTAAGTAGATTTCCTACAAGTTTCTAAAGAATCGTTGCCATAATCGATTGACCAACATTATCTTTTGTAGATTCAAATGCTTTGGATGTTTTCATTTGATGAACTATGGTTCGATCAATGCATGCTCGCTATTGAAATTGTATAACTCTGGGTTGCTCAATGCTCTCCTAATTACTTACTAACTTTATTAAAATATAATTTATTCTATTGATTATTTGATACAATGTAAATATCCTGAACAAAATTCTACGGGGATTACATCGTGTATCGCGTCAACGCAAAAAGTTTGTTGTCATGTTATCTTGATGCAAACACGGGCACAGAGCGTGTAAAACCTAGATGCGACAATCGAGAAAATGAATGCAATAAAATAGTCAGTAAATTTGCGCGCTCGCGTTAATCGTATCTGCGATAGGGAAGCGGTAAGATTGTGATAATATTTGATGACGACGTGATTCTTCACGAAATGTGCTACGCCTGAGTCTATGTAACGAATAACTGAAGACCATATGTCGACGAATAATATTTCATTGACGGAATTTGTACTTAAATGTTCGGGTTGAGTTTGGTAGCAAAAAAAGCTAATTATAACGAGGAATATGCGATTCTATCGGAAAGAAAAGACCCGAACGTTGGACATTAATAAGTTAATTCATATGTGCTTTTGTGCCGTGCGTATTAGTATTGAGTTAGATCCTGATAACGGAATGGATTCTCATCCAGCTATTAATCTGTTATCTGATTGGTTGATCAAAATTTTATCCAACATGCAAACGGAAATTAGTTCTTTTTAGTATGTTAAGAGATACGTCTATATTGAAAACTTTTATGAGAAACACAAGGTTGTCAGGAGCAGGATGTATTGAAGAAATGTGAGTTGAAATAGTGCCAAGTTAATGTACATTTAATTAATAATATCACATACATCAATTATAATTGCACTACTTGATGCAATTTGAGCTTAAATTAGAATAATTGGCTATACATAGTAACAAGCATTATAATCACTATAACAGATCAGCATATCAAAGGACAATTAACATTTATATATTCCCATTCACACTTCTTCCCTAATCTTTTTTTCTTTTTTAATACAGGATAATCTCTTCACAACATCAAAGTTAATGTCAATCACCCATAGCTTCAAAAGAAACCTGTCCTGACTTGGCCTCAGAGAGGCCTTCACACCTGTTAGTTCATTCGTTAAATAATTACATATTTCATCTCCGAATGCCTCACAGAATAAATACGGCAGCCTTCCGTATCTCGGCAAATGATCGTGAGGAAAATATTTGTCTCTCCGCACGGTTATCTCTGCAATGAGATCGCCATCAGATAATCTCTGTCTGAAAAAATTTTGTACATCCAGGACGAACTGATCCAATGCTGTCGCATATTGAATATCAGCATAGTTTGGTTCGCGCGAAGACTCTGCGCCGTCTTCATCTTCATCGTCTTCGAGACGAGGAATGGGAATTTGGAAAAAGTCTAATTCAATGAGTAGCTCTTCTTTCGATATACCAGACGATGAATATCTGTCTGGATATATTATTTTCCCCGTCCGATAATATTGCAAGACATAGCGGAACACATGTCCATCACGATCGATGAAATATTCATTGTTATTCGTTGGGTGAGAGAGTTCATCGTTACGTGCTTGAAACATCCGGCCGAGAAAAGTATCCGGATAAGCAAGAAGTGTTGACAATGTGGTTTCGTACTAGGTGGCATAGATTATCAGGTACGAGAAAATGATATCTTTATGCGAATCATTGTAGTTTACCTTTATTCCTCCTACGTTGAGGACAATTCGTTTGTCAGACATTGTAAGAAATTGATAATATAAAATGCGTGCATTTAGTGTCGAGAATAGACCTTGATTCACCAGAAAGTCAGGTGACATACGCCATACATAGCCATCTTATGTGCAACGTTCGATGTTTTTCGCCGACCTTGATGTGACCATTAATTACACAGTTTTACACTTTTATGGAAACTGGCTTCTGGCTGCACAACTCGGACGCGCAAGCGCGGAATTTCCAAAGCCACTTAGATACTCATACAACACCCAAACACTTTGACCAATGAGGACTATATCTACAACCTAGCAATTCAACAAATATATTACCGTTCGAATAGCAGGCCTATACAGTATGCAGCGTAATTGGAAATAAGGCTCATCGTCTTGGTCAAAGCTCATCTTTTTATTATTTGGACATCAAGTTTAACGTGGGTAGCCTTTATATCATCTCTGCAATGCAATAACACCGACCAATGATGGATTGTCATGGGTCATTCTATCTACTGTTCAAATTATGTATCTTTTATAATACATTTAATTGTTCTGACCACCATATATAAATATCACCATTTCTTTCTATGACTTTTTTTTTGCTAACTTACCGTTACATAGTTACAAAGAAATTTATACAAGGCAATTTATTATGCTTTCATTAAGTCTTAAGTGCTTGTAATCGAGCCTGCATCTCATTGAGCTCGGGTTCTTCTTCCACCACCTCCTCTTTGGTTGGCTGCAATCATTAACAAGATGTGAGTAGTGTAAACTTGCGAAATACACAATTGTCGAGATTATAAACATCCTCACCAATACTTCGCCAACTTCGCCTCCTTCGCCGAGCATTCCTGTCAAAGATAAGAGTAAAAATGCTCAATAATTTAAAACGAAAGGACAATATAACAAAGACACTTGTGCAATTTGGGCATCGTTCAACTGACCATTAGTAACCTCAAACAATATTTTATTTACTTCCTCCTCGGCCTCGTCTTCTACATCACTTTCCTCTAAGGTTTCAAAAGTATCTTCTATCATTTCATCAATGATACCAGCCTAGTCCAATGCAATTTTATGTTAATCAGCAATTTTGTACAAATTAATTTCCTCTTGAGAATTTTCTTCCATGATTTACTAAAAAGAATTATCTACCTTCGTCATCTCCATAGATAATTCTTGCATCGCTTGTGATATCTCGGGAAGTCTGGCAAGTTGATTGACCATTTTCATAATATCTGTGCTTTTTTGCAGTGCTCCAGATACCTTTAACACGGCTTGGGAAGAATAAGGAGAGACGACAATGTTAGAGAACGGTCAAATCAAGACAAATCGTTCTGAGAAAATAGTTCCGTGAAACATCATGCAACAACTCGCCCGTTGTTCCCCACGTAACTCCTGGAAAACCTCTATTTTATGTCCCCCCATTCCGTTGTAAGAAGCTTACCCAACTGATGTTGTAGTTGCATTACAATACTGTTCAACTGAGCCTTGCTCGTATAGATCCTATCTTTTTGTTTTTTGCTCCGAACCAACTCCTTTGCTAAACTTTTACATCCTTTTACATCATTTTTTTTCGCCAAAAGTTTCATACTTTTTTTCACTTTTGCTTCCTCGATCTCGATCCCACGCAATTGTCTATCTAAAGAACGCTCCTGGTTGCGAATGCTTTGACGCCACTTGCGGACCGCCTCGTCTGGCGGCGTCTTCTTTCCAAAGAACTTTTGCACTGAGCTCATAGCAAGTAAATCGACGAGGAGAGGGTAAGAGAGCGTGTGTGGGCTTTGTAAAGATGGGGAGAAGAAAGGAATGTTGGAAATAGTATGAAGCAAGGAAGAGAGAAGTGTCACACAGTAAAATCATGTGATGAGGTATTTAAAGCACGCAAAGGCGATTGGAAGACGATGAACATAATAATGTTATATTGTTCTGAAATGTTTATTGCAGAATTAGCATCGTAGATCACCTATCAGTATGAATTGTACAATTAAACTCTTAAAAAGGGCGTCTGAGATTTTGTCGTTTACCAGAATTCGATCGCACGTTTACAAAGAGATCTCTGATTATACCAATAAACCGTTTATACAATATCGGTATAATGAGCCTTTATGGTAGCGTTTGCGTTGCCAGGTTACGGCAGTATCATTAAAAAATGTAGGATGGAGAAAAATGCAAGTTTCAAGTTAGAATTGTCCCGCTAGTAGAAATTAACAGAAGTTTAGTTAGCATTCTCATGATAGTAAAGTATCCTACGAATGTCATAAAGAGATAAAAAAACAAAACCTACTGTAACATTTTCCTTTATCGTTCCATCCACACAATGATCCAAAGCCATTTTAAAAACGTTTTGTATTTCAAATGGCTTGATTCCCTGATTCTTTTATCGAAACTATAACGGGAAAATTCTTCTTTATTTCTTGTATTGAAATATAAACCGGAAAACTCTAATGGACTAGGATTGGAGCTATTTAACATCCAGCCAATATTTTTGAATTCTGTCACTCTGCCTGTTTTTTTAGACTTGGAAATAAAATAAAAACAAACAAACAAACAAACATTAATTTCTGCTAATATTGAGCTTTATCACAGGCAACAATTTTTTTCTGCCGCAGGCGCTTCTTTCATGATTGACGGAAATAATAGTATATTTACAATATAAAAAAAAAGTCAACCCATTTGGTCAGGAGTAAACACAAGATGTCTTAACCGCGGAAGCGCACGATAACTTTGACACTAGAGTCCAGGAGCTGGCGAGTGCGTCATCACGACCGAATACATTCATTAATCAGAAAATTCCCACCATATTTACTGATACGACAAGAGCAAATTAACAAGACAGCTTTCAAGTTTGAAGCGTCAACCGAGAGATGTCAAAGAGGGCACGCATCGCAAGCATGGAGATTAGCGCGAAAATCTGAACAACTGTCAAGCGTTTCGACATCTAAATGCTAAATGGTTTAATTGAAATTGTCCGAACTAGATCCAAATTTCCATTTACCTTGAAAGAGAAAAGCTGTTGCTGCTTCTTAGATAAGGGATTATTACCATTGAAGAACGAGAAAATTTAACAAAGAGAAGAAAACGTTGTAAATTAATAATAGTAATGCGAGCACTCTACATTTATGGTAAAAACGAATTATCGTTACGTAAAATTATGTGCAACATGTTCAAATATAATACGCCTCCAAATCATTTATGACGGAATCAACCGTCTTGAACAAATATCTCGTGAAAACCATCGAACGCGGCCACCAAGTCTGAACCGGTTGCGTTAATACATGCAGATGAATATGAGGAACAGTGTTGAATAACGGAACGACAAACCCTACGCTTTAAATTTTATGAATAACTTTAACATTGTAAACAAATTTCTCGTCTTGTGTTTCAAAGACTTACAGTAATCCAGCTTCATCATCTGATTTCGTTGCCGTTATCGTTCTCATAGTCTGCAACGCGACTTGTTTCATGTGTTTCACTTTTTATCGGAGAGGTTCATATATAAGCACTAAAATAACATCAAGTCTATTCTCCTCCTCCTCCTCCTCCTTTCCTCCCTCCCCTCCGTTTGCACACTCACCGAGCTCGACATGTTCCTTGTTTAACGCTCGGTAATTCTTATAATGTGCCTTTGGTATGACTAGAAGATGAGTTTCTGCAGCCGGGCTTAGATCTCTGAATGCTACGACGGTATCGTCCTATATGGAAATACGGCATTGATTTGATCATGAAACACAATCGACATGCATACAAACACACAGATATATATAAGATGAGTTTAGGCTACGTTATAAAGTAATTCTGTTTGTTTGTCATTCCCACGGGCAATGTCACAGAATATGCAGTCGCCTCGTTGGTTGTGTTCCGTCATTTTCGGTCAGGGAAATTGGGGGGGGGGGGGAGTTGAAAAGAAAGACGCTACAAGATAATGTTATGGTATGACTGATATACGATGACCATAGTCATATTAGTCTTAGTACTAGGTGAAACGATAACGTAAATTATTACATTTATTAAAGTTGATAGACACAAGTAATATCAATAAGCAGTTGGCAACGAAGGAAACCAAATACAATGTCCAGCATAACCAAACACAATTCAATTTTTTTTTACCACTAAAACCTCTCTAATATCCACAACACCCTTTCTCTTCATTTTATGACCGCCCTATCCCTTCTCCCGTCTACACTTCTGACGACGAATTAGACTAAAACGCTTAAACGGTAATGCGCTCGTAAAAGAAAACTAACGTGTGAAAACGGAAGTCTTGTATGTATCGCTTAAAATTCAAAGTCACCACTTCCCTTCTGGAAGAGATAGTCTTTTCCATTGACTGACATAATGCCGTCTTTGAGTTGACATTTCCATTTGTTTTTTGTACGAGTGACCTGGATTTCAATTCGAGACGGTCATTTCATGAAATACATTGAAGATACAGAGAGATTGACGAACCATAAAAATGAAAGTTACAAATCAACGACATGGATACATCGACCAATTGTTTAACATTTACTATGACACTTTTCTCATAATTCTCGTTTATCATACATATTCCTCTCGACCTCCCTCTAAACTGTGCTATTTCTCGTACCTTATCATATAAACATAGAATGATGTTCTGCGATTCTTCCCCATCTGCAGCTCCCTCGTCATCCTCCGAATCGTCAAGATCCGAATTGATATCATCATCGTTTCCGTTTCGAGTTCCATGTCGTCGCTTGCCGCTTGGCAGTACCGTAGCCGGAGCAGGCTGGACGGCGTAGTTGGATTTTACGTCGAATTCGCTTGCAGGAACGTGTGCTTTCACGTTGTGGTCAGGTGCCGAAACGTAAGATTTCGTGTTAACATCGGCAGAAACAAAATTGGATGAGCTGGCGGCTGATAATATTGTCGATGAGCCGATATCCTTTTTTGGCGAGTGTTGAAGAGTTTGGGTGTATGCGTTAGAAATATTGTCTCGATGGAAACGCAACGCTTTCATAAAGTCTTCTAGTCGAATCCCTTGACAACAATATCTTATACAACTCTCTTTCTATAAACTCCGTCATACATAATCCTTCTTATAAACCATAGACTATTTGATTAACCTCGATACCTGAGATGGTGGCTTCGGAAGATCATAATACATCTTCTTATCTGCAGCCTCAGCATTTTGTGGCGCAATCATCGCGGCTAAATAACAACCACAATTCCAATAAGCTTCTTATTTATGCGAACAATTCTCTCATCATTTCTGCGAATACTTTTCTAGACTCTTCCACGATTCTTCCACATACCACCATCCTGCAACAAGATACCGTTTGGATGACCAGGATTTGGTTGTGCCTGGGAATGACCAGTGTTCTTTTGTACCTGGACAAAGACAGTCGAGCAATTTATTAAGAAAGAACGGTAGCAATGAAAATTTCTTTTGGCAGCTCATTGGTGATTACTCACAATATATTGTTGCGGTTTACCCAATCCATTTCCACTGTCCGCCCCAATCATCGAGGTACCAGTAGCAAGCGTTGCAAGATTAGCCGCCGCTGTAGTCGTTTCGTGATCTTGGACTTGTTGGTACTATAAGTTTGCGAGAATAATAAAGATGGAATTAACAAATATGGGAATTGGAAAAGAACCGTTAAATGAAATTAAGGTGATCATGATTTGTGATTTTAATTGTAAATAGGGGATAGATAATGGGAAAGTTTATCGAGTCAGTGAAAGGGAATGATTAGGTTGATGACTGTCTGGAGGCGGCAACAATTCTGTCAAACGGTTAAGAGCATCGACATCACATCATTATCACCATAATTATCACGTCATCATGACCATTTTCATTGTTACAATATTACCATCATTACAAGATAATTATCAAATACAAACACACCTTCCTCAAAGCATCATCAGCAATAGCCTCAAAGAGAGAAAACGAAATACTATGTTAATTAGCTAATCCTTTCTCCTTGCCTAGTCAAACGACCAACACGATTATTCAGAAACCAACGTTGCACACTCGATTACGATATTCGCAACATAACGCATGCGACTAACATGAAAAAAAAAAGCACGATAACGCCAATACACTATCGTTATTTTCCTTCCTCACCTCTGCATAAAAAGCTTCTCCAGCCTGCCAGTTAGCTACCCGAGAACTAGCCACTTTCTGTTCCCATGACTATGAAATCCAATTAACATTTCACAAGAGTTTGATCGGGACGACAATTATATGACGGGAAACTTTCGTTAGAGCAAGGAATTAAAGAGAATGAATCAAGGAAACACAAATCGTCCGCAAGAAAGCCTGCTACGCACGCGTTTTAGCTCCGACAGTACGGATTGGTCGACACCCATATCTTCAAAGTCCTTGCTCACATTTTGGATCACATCGTCAATGACTGCTCGGTATACGGAGGCCTATTATAATAATTAATGTCTACATTTTAAATCACTTATGCTGCGCCATATAGCCTAGTGATGACTTGACATCCGCATTCATACGCACTCGCGTCTGTCATACTGTCATCCCGTTTCCCTCTATTCCCTTTTTTCATGGTTTTCCTTTTCATTCTTACCACGTTATTTGACATCTTTTATTTGTTTAGTCTCTAAAATTATTCTTTGTTCCCTTCTATGTCCCAAATATTGCCCTTTGATCTCTAAAACGCGGTTCTAATAACTGGGGGGAAGCGGTTTTTATATCAAGTGCGGGGTTTATATATTGGCCTGAGCCTATATATATAGCGAGGTGGGCTATTTATACGTCTGGGAAGGGGGAAATGGTTGAGGAAAGAAATGGTGGATTGTGAGAGGTTGAGGGGGTGTGGTGGATTGTTTGTGTTACATTGGACGAAACAGTGGTACATCTGTGTCACAATTACAAATTACAACTACTTGAAAGGTCAAGAATAACGTGACATGAATGGTGTAGAGACAACCAATAAAAAGATTTCTCCAAATTTGATAGAACTGTTGTTTTCTCACGCTGTCACAGAGAAGTTAAGGAATGTGTAACCAAGCTGATCTGGGAAGTCATTATGAGCAGAGGAACTTGGAGAAATAAAGTTTGGACCTGTTAAACAACTCGTAAAAAAAAAAAAAAGTAACATGGACATAATACCTTTTGTATCATCAAAGCGACGAACGGTTTTCAAACTGCAAACATTATTGCTGCGGTGGTCTTTAACCATAGAATATCGAACGTCTTGGCATGGAATTTAATGGGTGTCGTTAAATTAAATTTCGGGCTACATGCAGATTAAGATCGACAACCAAAAAACTGAATTTGTATGTTTTCAAATTGTTGATACTGCAGTACTGGTTACGATTCAGATGACAGCAACTTGCTTTAATAATAACAATAATAATGGTCATACAATACCCGGGCTCTTTTGACGGTCCCCCCCGAATACAAGCGTATCTGCCAAGTTACATGTCGATGTTCGATGGCGATGACGATGGCGAAAGAATCAAATGATATCATTACTTTCTGTGCGAACAAGGTTCTTTTTTTTGGGAGCAATGCGAGTCCAATAAGAATGATGGCATTTAAAACGCTAGTCCCTTTGCCTATAATAATAAAGAATGACTTTGTCCTCCCCAATGCATCGTCTATCATTATTTGTTGTGCTTAAATCATTACCCACACAGACTTTCTAAATTTATCAAAGACTTGTAACACATTTTAATAACTCGCAGGAAAACGTGGACATGGTCTTGCCTTAGTAAAGGGATAAGATTCGACCATGACCCACATCATGCTTTAACCAATGATAAAATAGCAACATAAATACCTCTTGTGTTGGTGTTACCCAAAGTTGCTAAAAATACGCACACTCTGTAATTGCCCGGTTTTAGCAACCATTCCTGTATGCAGCTAATACACTGTGCATCTATGGGAAGTTGACTGTATCGTACAAAGGTAATAGTACTACGACTACAATTACATATCAATGCCTGACAACAACAACCTTGTAACCATGCGCATATTGTATATAAACCCACCTTCTCTCTTGCCCAGATCGATATCGCAATCAATAGACATATTATATTCTAATCCTCCACATTCCTTCAGTTCTCCTTTTTTTTTCGCGTATCATTAATTCATTCCTTTATTCCGCACAAAATCATTTTTTACACACACATCGCCTACTTCAATAGATTACGCGAATTATCAATTAGAAAATGGCAAAGCTAATAACATTAATTCTACTTTTTGCCGTTGTGCTAGTCATCAACGGCAACGTCTTTGCCGCTCATAGATTTGAATCAACAAGGAGCTTACAAATTTCGTACGAAAATTCAGTGCAAATGGATGTCAAACACAGGCGAGCCTTTGTTCGCAGAGCAAAAAAACCCAAGAAGCAAAAGAAACCAAAGAAGCCGGCTAAAAAGCCCGCCAAAAAGCCGCCAGCAGTCACACCAGCTCCCCAAAAGGTTTACACCAAAAATCCATGCAAATCATTTGTGGAGGATTTTTCCAACCCTCGCATAGCTGAAGCTTCTTCGTACTCGGGTGACCCGTCGTCTGCTGATTGGATCAATTTGTCAGGTAGCCCATCTTCATACAACGTTAAGAACGGCCTTTTGACTCTCAACCTTCAGAAACCATCCCAATACGAACGCATTAACTCTGATCAAGGCCCGTACAACAAATACCCTGGATTTGGAACCACATTTAATTCATCACGCTTGATGCATTATGGTGTTGTCGACGTTGTATTAAAGGCAAACCCTGTTGGCGGGGTGGTAACAGCCTTCATAACCATGTCACCAGAAGGAGATGAAATTGATTACGAAATAGTCGGAAACGACACTCACCGAGTTCAATCCAACTGGTATTGGAACGGTGTTATCATCTGGGGTGCTCATGGTGGAATTCATGACCTCCCCGATAACAAACTTATTTCCGATTTTAACACGTACACGCTTGACTGGGATCCAGATAGAATTATCTGGAAAATTAACGGCCAACCTGTCAGGACTTTAACTAGACAGGAAACCTACGAAAATGGCATATATAAATATCCAAACAGACCAAGTCATATTCAATTTGGAATTTGGGATGGAAGCACGGCCCCTGGAACTGCTAATTGGGCGAATGGACCCATCAATTGGGACCAAGAACCGAATGTGTTGACCTCACAAATTGATACTATTAGTATTAAATGTAATCCAGACTACAATGAAGCTCCTTGATTGAACAGCGATAGATTTGTGTTATTTAAACCAAGTTACCCGTTCGAAACGATGGTTAGATAATGCACACTTACTTACCTGCATTATCTTGGAAATTCAGATTTTTATTCATAGATTACTTGCATCAATAGACTGCTGTACACGTCGTTCGTTCAATGTCAGTTCTTGAATAAAATTTACTGAATTTTGTTGGGTTACATTAACATTATCTAATTACTCCAACGCTAAATTAATTAAATGCAAGTTGTAATAGATTGCTGTACCCGTTAATCGATCATTATTGCAACATAAGCATAAACAGCACAACATATCGGACAACATTGGTTGAAACAGCTCTAAAAACTGAGAATATTCCTAAAATCACACACGCAGGATCTTTTTATTTATTACACAAATTTCCCCGAGGCCAAAGCGCGAAACGAGAATCGCCACTAAAAAAATTATACGCTTGGCAATATAACATTAGTATTACAACATTTTGTATTTTCAAAACTGTTATTATGCGTCACCTTTTTCTTCATATTCATATGTCTATAAATCTTGTCTCTACATTATTATTATGCATGCGCAGAAGGTCAGTCGCACCGATAGATAGCTTTTAGGGGGTAAATTGCAGGCGGACGATCATCAATTTCACATTCTATATTCTCCATTTCTCATTCTCCATTTATCTCCTATAACGCTATTCTCCAGCACCAAATTGTTCTCCAAACCATCAATCTGCATTTCCAATCTAAACCAATTAAAGTTATCAACATGACTCACTTCAAGCGTTACCCCTTCTATCTCGCTTTCCAAATATCTCTTGATCTCGTTTCCGTATGTGCTTAGCATAACATACCCAACCGATCCATGTGGTTTTATGATTTTTATGACCGCTGTCTTTAGCATTGTCTCTTCATTATCGGACGATAAAATAGTGATATGTGGAGCTAGCTGGTTTTTACGAAAGTCTATTCTTATAGAGGTTTGGAATTCGCTCGCAAGGACGTGCAAGACCCCCTCGAGTGATTGCATAAAGTGGGTCAAGCGTTGTCCAGCTGCACGATTGATAAACGAAGATGTAATCGTATGGGCGGGGAGTTGGAAATATTGCACTTCTGACAAGAATTCTTCACGGGTTACTCGCGAATGATACAAGCTGCCTTTTGTGGGTTGTGGTGTCATTGCGTGAGGAGTGACTAGATACGTAGAGGAGGATGAGGAAGATATGGAGGAAGACGGGGACAGTGGAGATAACGGTGTGCTACTACTACTATTCCCACGATCATTCCCAACGGTCAAACGCCTTCCTGTTCCACATACACAGTTTCCTTCTTCTTCTTTCCAAGACAATCTTCCCGTGCGATAGAATTCCAAGATGTAAAAAAATGCATGACCATTCCTATCTATAAAGTATTCGTTATCGACTGTTTTGTATAAAAGGGACAGATTACGATCCGCAAACATTGTACCGAGAAGTGTGTTGGGATATGCGGTTAAAGTTGAACGGTAGGTTTCGTACTGAATATAGGAGCAGAATGACATCGGTTTGCGCTGTTAGGGTGAATCAAATTCTCTAGTTGTGCTATTTCGGCATTTCAGCTGCTCACCTTTACTCCTCCGACATTAAGTATAATCCTCTCGTTGAAGCTGAAATTTTTACCATCACGGTCATCGATTTGAACGTTATCCTTTTTGCCTGTTAGTTCTATCATTTTATGATTGTTAGCAAGTATTAAATACTTGCCCCTCCGCAAATAGAGAGCTTTATAAGGTCGAACTCAATCATGTGGGCGTGTACAGTAAATATATTGTATGTAGAAGTTTAATGCAAGGGATCGTCTAGTACGAGTCTCGTTTTAGTAATTCTGAATCTATTTGCAATACAAAAAAGTCATTCTGCAGATAGATTATTTTTGCAATAGTAGCAGTATGTGCTTTTAGCACTCACTTTTCTCTCACGATGGTTTATAATGCTTTATACCCTCGTTTCCTTCTGCCATTTTCGGTTGTTTATCAAAGCAAGATGATTTTTCACGTTCATGCAATACTCCCAGATTTGCTATTAATGGCAATTGACATACATGAGAAAATGCAAGTTGTCGCGCGCGCTGTGTCACAATGTGAGAAATTGAGTAATAAAAAGGGGAGTATCATATAAAGCGTGGGGTTGGTCATGATGCACTTTTATCTAAGAAAAGAGAACCGACCCTTATCCCATCTTCAGATTAAATCTGTATTAGCTATCTGGCTTAATCTAGCAGTTGACAACCATATTACTATCACTACTTCTGATGTTAAAACGATATTAGAATTGCGTAAAGTGCAGAGTCAATTATGGGCTTAAAGAGGGCCTCTGATTATACCGATAAACTCGTTATACCGATACAAATGGCCGGTGCCACTCGTATCGGTATAAAGAGGTTTGACTGTATATAAAATTCGCGCCAAAAATAATACGAACGCCAGTCCAACGAATAAACAACAATGTTAAAGGGTGTAACGCAATTGTCTTGACCTACAGTACATTTGAGAAAAAATTTTTTTTAATTCAAAACTAAACTAAACCATGTCGTTTGTTGATAATCCTGCAATCAAGAACTTGATTCAATCTTCGTCAAAAAGTGAATGTGAACTTGAATGGATTCTTAATACTAACTCGAAAATTACTAAAAGAAAGTCAACTGAAATTGACAACGTCTACTACGCTAGGCTTTATGATTACGACGACGAGTTAATGCTGCTATTGCTTGGAAGTAGCAAAGAATGTACACCAACACTTGTGAGTGAGTTTGCCAGAATATACTCACTTCCAACACACGACCACAGCAATGACGTTAGTCACTTTAGACGATATTCCGCCTGGCTTAAAGATCGCAACATCCTCATTAAAGGATTTACCAAATCTAATGACGATAAATATTACATGGTTGCTAGTAAACGCTTTTACCATTATTATTCTTGATATGGCTTCTGCTCCGCATGTGGATTACTCCGATGTAGTCCAGTGTGGTGCATAAACAATTATCCGATGGATGGACTAGCAACAATCTATTACGACGTATATGCAATACTGGACAGGTTTATACGAAATAACAATCATGTTACATACATTCAGTATAGCGACTTTTATGAACTCAAATTTGGTGGTTACGGAACAGTTTATACTGCCAGGCACAAGGAAGCGAATATGCAACAAACTGTTGTACTCAAACGATTTAAAAATTTTGATGAAATGTCGGAATTATTTATTTCCGAGGTAAGCAATAGTTGTATTATTAATTGATATTTACGCTGACTCCATATATTATTTATTTAATAGTTCAGAAATCATGCCAAGTGTTCAGGCAATAGTTATGTTAATTCATTCCTTAAAATTTATGGAGTAACACAAGACCCAGAGACAAAAGAGTTATGCAATAGCTAACAATGGCAGTCTTTTATCTTATTTGGTTCAAAATATTAACAAGTTGACGTGGAGAATGAAATTAGACCATTTGTCGGATATTGCAGCTCAGCTGCGTTATATTCATGATGCGGGATTAGTGCATTGTGATCTTCATAGCGGAAACATAGTTGTACATGACGATACGAAATTATACACATGCGATCTTGGTCTTTCACAATCAGTGTATTTACGCGAGTCAAATTCAACCGTTCGAGGCGTCTTGCCTTTCATTGCACCGGAAGTCTTTCATACTTGCAAATTTACTCAGGAATCAGATGTGTACTCTTTTGGCATTATTATGTATTTGATTGCTACCGGTGAACAACCATTTAGAGATAGGCAGTTCGACAGAGGTTTAGTATGCGATATCATGGGCGGACTACGACCATCTATGCCCGATTCCGTACCAGAGGAATACAAGAAATTTGCCGAGCGATGTTGTGACGCTGATCCCGATAAGCGTCCTGATGCAAATGAAGTTATCGATGATATTGACAAGCTTATTAGAAAGGCGGGTAACGACAAGTCTGGATGGAATACTATCTATCATACTGATGTAAAACCATTATCACGCCTCGAGAAGGAGAGTAAATATTCTAGTACGCTTTTACCTACCGGAGATTTGTTTAAATTAAAAAACAACTTTGTTTTGGATTCAGCTGCAGGTATGTTACAAGTTGGTACAAATAAAGTCAATTTACAATATTAACACCGTGCATTTCTTGTGTTTAGAGACTCAGCCTCTTTCTGAATAAGCTTGTAATTCAATGAGCTTATTTAATTATACTCAAAGGTGCAAATTATATGATGTGTATCCACATATGCCAATATGGTTGATTAACAAGACGTCGAAATAAAATTGTATGTGTTACTGTAAGTTACCTTTGCTGGTATTGACTATGTAAGAATTAAAATACACTATTTATTTAAAAGACTGATGTTAAATTGATAATGAATTCGATGCTAATGGTCCTGATAAAACTAGCAACATTCGAGCTCGGTTCGAAGCATTCTAGCGTCAGCTGTGATGTGTGCTTTCTAATATTGTTTTCCACATCCAAACTAGTTTTTTTCCGAATACGATAGCTATTTAATTTTAGAAATGGGACATTTTTTCCCCCGTGATGATATATACAGTAAAGTAGCTCGAACCCCATCGGCAAATCGTATGTTTAAACTGTTAGATGATAAACCACAATAAAGTAAATAAACGCTTTCCTTTAAAATCTTTTCTTTCATCAATTAAGTGCAATAATGAAACATGAGCTTATAATAAATATAAATTAACCATTGCATTGTTGTTTAATTAGTTAGTTCAAGACAAAATTACGTTTACTCGATTAGTCAAAATACGAAATCGAAGTTTACTTTAAAAATAGATAATTTTCCTTCGACTGTGTGGTATAATGGTTGCTGCTGTTATTATATTGTATCGCGCGTATCCTTATTTGGATACGCGTAACGATTTTCGTATGACCGCGCAGAAATATTACAAATTTAGGTCAGTTACAAGTTTAGATACTGTCTTAGCTGACAATCGAGACGTGGATACGAAGCTGAATTTGATAGCATTTTCCGAAACATATACAGTGAACTCTCTCTAATATCCACCTCACGGGACCGACCAACATATGCGGGTGATAGGGTTAGAGAGACGTCACACTAAATTATATTATAATTCGTTTGAGTACTACCGTTTTAAAGAAAGCGGGTTTCATACAAAACGATATTTATACATAAACGAATAATTCAGCCAAGCTACGATTTACGGACACTGGCCAAATATTGATTTTTTTACGTAATTTTTGGACCAAAGTTAATAACATTTTACGCCGTCAGGCTTTTTTCGCTAGACAATAATTCATTTATATTTATTTCATAATAACAGAAAAGCATGGAATAGATAATAAAAAAAACTAAATATGTCAATTGCCTAACAATTTCTTTTTCTTATGCTCAATTCTTCTTCCTTATTTTCCATTTTTAGTAATATGTTGTAAGTACACAATTGGCTGTGAATCGTATTAGTATTATTAAATAAGTGATAGGGACATGTAATTAAGACTGAAATCTGGATATAAGAGTATCAACGGGTTTTGATATCAAAAATTAATATGCGCGGGGGAATTTATATATGGGGAAATCCGTTCCATGATCACTGTTGCTAATAGAGAGAGTTTGATATTAGCGGGGTGGATATTGAAGAGGGTTCACCGTATAAGCATTTCTTCCGGTTCATATTAAAACTCATTAAAATAATATTGAGCTGATTGGAATTATTGGTTTTCGTGGTGCCGTGGTATTCTGAATTACTCAAGCAAGAGCATCCGCTGACGCGAACAGTCTATAAACAGCTTGTAATGCTATATTGGGATGATACATGGATTCTATCCATTTACGTTGACTGCTCGCGTCTTTCCCGGGGCTTCTTAAGTCTTCGAATAGCGTTTGATATCCAGAATTTATAATAATGCAATACATAATTTTTGTCGAACGTACGATTGAGTTTCGAGTTTTCGTTCAATTTTCAAATATTTATTACCAGTACATAGAGATTTCCAATAATTTTAATATATTTTTCAGTATATACCAATTGGTTGCAAGACAACAGATGACTACTCCTATCGTAGGGGAGTATGATGTGTTGTACCATTCTGAAAGCGTGTCAATTTTTCTTGAATTAAAGTATTTTTACTCTCGTTCTACCGATCGATGTTGGTAGCTTATAATACATAATGAATAATTCCACGATAGAAACTGATTCTTACGATTACGGCAACAGCATACACGTTGAGAACAGGGCTTATAACGCGAGATATATGGACATACGTTGCCGCATTTACCAAAAGCGGGGAGGGGTTGTTTTTTGTTCGAAACGTGAGAGGAACTGGCTTAGAACGACAATAATGTCAAAAACATTAGGATGTTGGCTAGCACAGCAGCCTTTGCATAATTGACACTTACAATAAGGTAGTATTTTTGCAACTTACATACTAATACATGCTCGCATAACCGAATATGTCAGTAGCCAGTAAGGATAGTTGATATAGTGAGCGTTAACATGAATCGCTGATTTATTGCTTTAAAACATTTACGTAATAGTTTAGGGTACCGTGCAGGTGCACAAAACCCATTTGCCCATAATAAATACTATGCAGTTTACCAAAAAACTATGACTTACACATCCGTTTGAAATCTTGAATTTATCTCGCGCACAGTCCAAATATTTATGCGGCCGTCTGGGATATTTTTCCGTAGATTCAAGTCTTCCTCATGAGTCTTGTTTAACTCTTTAAACAACAATTTTTTCAAATCCGTATAGTCGTGGTCGTGCACATAAATTTCCATGTATTTATGGTATTTGACAATTGTCTTGTAGAGATATGATGGAGAAAGGAAAGTCAAAATCAGGTCTGGTTTAGTCTCATTGAGCAAGATGCAGTTTACAAGGCTAACAGTCTCCGAAGAAATTTTGGCAAAGGAAAAAGTGAAGTTGTCGTTCTCTGTTCTTTCAAAACCCATGCGCTTTAGTTGTTCGTCAAATTTATCGTCAAATGCAGTTCCGCCGGTGGTGCTATGACTGGATTCGCTAATTGGCGCATACACTGGTATTGGGCGTGGATGAGGAGCATTTGCCAATATCGACTTGCGGTTGAACTGTGATCCTACGAATTCAGCCATATGATTACAGAGGACCAACACAAGCTTTGGAGAGATAACATAAAACCAATGATAAGCAAATTGAAATGGTAATTGACCGAAAGGCAAAATCCCCGAAAACCCCTCAAAGATTCCGAATCCGTTACTGGTTATAATGAACTCGTCATTATCCCCGGCTTGCCAAATTACGAGAAAACAGTCAACCATGCGTTGTTGATAATCCGTCCTATCTACTGAAAAGATTCGAGAGTCATCCTTAATATTCTTGTGGGGGGTCTCTAGTATTCCGCGAATATTCTGTAACCATACTTCATGCGCCTTTTTTAATTTATGTTCTTCCATGTGCTTTTGTAACAGAGCCCGAGTCATGAAATCAAATTTTTCATCGGCGAATTGAGACCATCTCGAACGGCTTCGATAGTTCATGATGAAGAGAAATTTGCGTAGATTCTCAAGATTTTTCCTGACTAAGACGATTTCATTTTTCGTTTGAGATGCATTGATAATATCTTTGATCATATGTGATGCTTTTTCTTCAAGTTTTGAGAGTTCTTTTTCCACATACATCACATCTTTATTATCGAGATCTTTGTACATGTTCATATATCCATAAGTTCTCCTAACCGGAGAATTAATTATTTGACCATTCTTATTGTCGTAAGCTTGGAGAAGTGCATTTTTCTTATTCCAGTTCTTGAAACTTTGCTTATGCTTTTTCTCTTTGTATATATTGTCATTGCCCACGAATATTCTCCCGTAATTGTTAATAGCAAAATTCATAAGAAGGAACTGCGGAATGTAGTGATGATATTCATCCTCTTTTTGGACGGCTATTCGTTCGTCAAGTCGTCCTTTTCCTTTCTTTTTTTTCATCGTGGTATATGTTAGCAGAAAAAGCTTCGGAAACAAACTCCGTACCCAATTAATATAGATTTCGTTCACATGATGCATGAACCATATGCGTAAAACAATGGTTACATTTATATCATGTGCGATGTGCTACTCCAGAATGGAAGGTGGTATACACTATGAAAGGTCCTCAAAACAATACCTCTTATCATATGATCAAACAAGGCGTCTAGCTTTGTAATCTTGGTTGTCTTAACACCAGAATTCTTTTTTATATTAGCAGTTGGATTGTTTGGGTTTGTTGTACACATCGGCAATCGATTTTTTTGTGGCACAATATAAAACATTAGAACTTCGAAAACAATCTTCTAAAGTTATCGGATTTGCCACTAAGAAAAAGAGTCTCGAAGCTTTGCTTCTCAACAATTTCGAAAATCAGAAGACAGCAATTAAAATTGTAGCAAGTCAAAACAGTATATTAGCGCTAAAAATGTGCTTATACACATGTTTGTGAAAGACTCTTGGCGTTGTTCAAGCAAATGTTGGATTTTATATTATAGGAATGGATCACAAATAAAAAAGTATATATTAGCCGTGCGAGGCTCTGAACTGCTTTGCAGAAAGCATGTAGTTTAAGTGAATGTGGCTCATAAAAACAAAGAGGCGTGATTCGTATTTACACAAGTCAATGTTTTCGGCTACAGCATCCGGTTTGTCATAATGTTCAACTGATAAAGCGTGGCCTATTTTGTGTCTACACGCCAGTGTCTCGAATGCGAATCGTTCGTATCTCCATAAGCGTGATTAGCTCCTATTTTCCGTAAGTGACATGAGCTAATGCCGTAAGGGGCTAAGAAGTTATTAATAGAATAAACGCTACATTATAAAAGACTTGAGCAAACGTTTAACAAGTTTAGTATCTAATATTTATTACGAGGGATAAGCTACTCCAACATCAAACGCAGATGCGTAAAGGAAGAAGATGTCAAGACGTATACGACTTGATAGAAAAACTTCTCAAGCGCATTTCCTGCCTATAAATCATGTGATTTGCAATAGACGCGCAGCAAGAATTCCATGTATAAAATCGTGATCGGCATGACAGTTTACTATTGGACATCCGTGAATAAAGCTAATTACATTCATTAAAATCTGCAAGCCGTGTTTTCATAGACACAATGTCTTGTAACAGATCAACCCTCCGTTCCTTGTTGAGCTTCTTATACACAATCGCAATACAGTTGTTGATCAGTCTTTGTTTCTGGTCAATTTCAAACCTTGTTCATAACATAGTCAATAAAAAGGCAATCGAGAAATAAATGGAGAGCGAAAAAGATACGTGGTTGCTAATGATAGACGTTGCGTATGTTAATATTAGAGCAAAACCTGGTATTTTGATGCTGACTAAGTGAAACATTGAGTTTCAAAAACAAAGCTCTATTACTATTGAAATCAGATTGATCAATTAAAGTTTGCTACGTCACCTTTCTGCCATGTAAACATTTGCCAAATATAGCTAACATGTCGTTACAAGGCCTTCTTAACCTTGAATGCAAACGGACATGTTTCATAAACCAATGAATGTGGATACTAAATTCTTGAATTGGGTTGTTTGTGACCCAAATAAGCAAAGGGTTTGGGGGGACATGATTATCCTGGTTTCTAAAAATGGTTGCATAGTCTTCGTTTCAACATCTCATTCATATCCACGGTCATTATAGCAGCTTCCAGGTATTTCGGCGACCTATTACTTCCGTATCTAACACCTTTTCTTTGAAATTGCATACACACAGTTTCTATTAATATGCTATTAATTAATATTTATTTCTTTGATCTTCTGAAACGTTCATGCCAGAAAAAGTGCCTTGTGTATCGAATGTTTTGACAAGCTTTAAACACAAAAAGGCATAAAGTTGTACATAATACGTTTAGAATTCAAGAAATGCATCGAATGGATGTGGTGTTACATTTCTTTGTCTTAATTTTAAATAACAATTCCAATAAATATCCGTTTCCCATCATGATATTATTCTCTACCCCTTCGAAAATTCATTCTTCCAAGTGACCTAGAACCTCAGTACAGCAGGTCCTGTAAATATTATAAATTTCGCATTCGCATAATATCTCTGCACAATTCCCCTCATATATGATATGACACGATGAAATATACAACATACTTCATATCAATCTTTATTCTGGTCTGTCTGGATTATCTTTCGGTATTGGGATTTGTTAGTGCGATTCCTGTTTCCCGCTCTACAAACACTGGCTTTGATAGTCAATCACCAGATGTTGCAGATAGACTCTGCAGTAACATCCCACGATCAGACTGTGTGAAATCGCCCTCCCCCGACAAGCTTAATATCGATGCCTCCAGGAAGAGAGACAGTCCAATAGACCCGCTGGCAGCTGCAATCAAGACTCGTTTGTACGCTCAACCACTCGATCATACGGATAAGGCCAAAGGGTTCTTTATGCAGAGGTATTATGTGAATGACACTTTTTATAAACCAGGCGGGCCTATATTTTGTAAGTATTTGGAAATCGAATCGACGAAATGAAAACGACAAGTATCGATTGCATACATCACTTTACTCAATTAACTGATACCCCCTCCTTTTCCATTATATCAGTGCACACTCAAGGCGAATCAGCAATACGCACCGACATAGTCACCGATAGCAGCGTCAGCGAGCTAGCCGCTAGCTTCAATGGACTGCTTATCAGCCTCGAACACCGTTATTACGGCAACTCATACCCTCTTTACTTTCGCTGGACTTCATCCACAATGAAGTATCTCACTACCGACCAAGCGCTTGCCGATTTTGCCAATTTCATCAGCAACCCACCGTTGCTGTACCAAATCCCCAAGAACGCAACGTGGATATTTGTTGGAGGTTCCTATGCCGGAAATTTGGCTGCGTGGATGAGACAAAAGTACCCTAATCTAGTTGCGGCTGCTTATGCATCCTCTGCTCCGCTAAAAGCCAAACTGGATTTCTTTGAATATGATCAAGTCATCGCTCAAAGACTACCTTGTAGTAGTAACCTAGCGGACGCAATAAAGTACATCGATAGCATATTGTTTTCCGGTGATAGGACAAAAATAAACAACTTGAAGAATCTGTTTGGAATGTCCGCACTATCAAACGACGGTGACTTTGCGTCAGCCTTGACCACCCTTCCATCAGACATTGTCCAATCCTACATGCCACCGTCAGATCCCAGTCAATTCGATGAGATACCCACATTCTGTTCAGTGTTTAACAATAGCCCGGATAAATCGCCCAAAGCGATGGCAATAGCGTTTGCTAACGCAACTCGAATATCGATGCAGGTTAAGGGGCTTACCACGGACGACGCCATTGCGAACAGATGGGCCACCGAGGACTATTATCGTACCGATCGTCTTGACGATAATTTGGCCTGGTTGTGGCAATACTGTAACGAATATGGGTATTATCAGAACGCACCTCAACCGCCGTCAGTTACTCTTCGTTCCCTCTTTGTCAACACCACGTATTACCAATTCCAATGCAACTTTGTGTGGCCCGATATCCCGCCTCCACGTGTCGATGCTACAAACGCCAAGTACGGTGGTAATGATGTTTTCATAGCAAACACTGTATTTACCGTCGGTGAATTTGACCCGTGGCGTCCGTTATCGATCGCCGCTACCAACCGAGCGAGTTCGGCTGATATGGTGATCCTGGAAATCAAGGGCGGGTCGCATACGAATGACTTGAAAGCTGGGCAAAAGTCCGATTCAGAGTCGTTGCTTGGTGTCAGAAAGGCTGTCAAAGACACTATCGCCGGTTGGTTGGGAAAAACGTGTGGAAACGTTAATGGATTTTACAAGTGTGTATGAGGGAACTGATACGTGATGTGGGTGGGGTGGTTAATACCGAGCCGTGAAGAGTTAATATAAATTCTACCAACATACTAGAGCATATCATTCTTTTACATCTCAAAGTTGCATTTGTATCATACGACCGTTTTTTTGGGGGCTTTTTTTTTTGCGCTCTTTATTAGACATTGCACTTGTATCATATGGGACATTCACATTCACTGTTAACATATCACAATTAGCATTTTCGTTCATTAAAATCACTTAGCATATATAGACATTGGCATATAAACATTAATTAGCATATAGACATCAGCATTGTATACTGTTAGCATAAAGACATTAACATTGTGTACCTATAGCATAGACATAGCATTTTATATAGAAAAATCAAATACTGAGAGCATAAATCGACATTTTGAAAACATTCAGTCTTTACAATGATAAAATAAAATTGTATTCGCCCATTATACGCATGGTTGGCTGCGCTGTCACAAACATTTTACAATCACAACACGCTAATTTTAATCGGGCAAGACACGGCGTCTATCGGAATGTCTTTGACTTTTTAGTATAGTCTCTCGTCGATTAAGTGAATGATGCCATCGAAAGTGCTTGCACCGTCGAGTAAATAATACCATACGCGTCGCGCATTCTCTTAATTTGCGCACTTACCTTAACGAGAATTCTAAAAAAGGAACCCCCCCAACACATAACCATGGTTGCAATCCATTATTAAAAACAGGGGACTTGGGTGCTTTTGGGGGAAACACGTTTTTACTAATATTTCCCCTTTTTATTCTTTTATTATTCATTTACATGTACATGATACTTTCAAGTCGTATCATTAATTAATGCTGACAAAATATTTACCAATCTTGCATTTTTGATGTCTATATGCAGATAGCCAAAATCTTAATGACGGTGTGCTCAGAAGACTAGAACACGCATGACCCGTATAAACTTCACTCGCATATGTGTCGCGGGATGATATTATTTAATACAATGCAAACATAATTACAAAAGTGTATATCAATAAACAGCAACAACGAAGCTTATATAAATAATAATAAATAAAATAAACAGTAATATATAATCACTACCTCTAAGAACGACTACTCCACCAAGTTTCAACCCATTACTTCTTAGCTGGCGTATCATCATCCCTTGCCTCACTCTCACAGCCATCACTTCCACTAACCACTGCGGTCTCAGTTGCGCTTTCACTTTCACCTTCTTCCAATTCAAGTTTGGGCGACATTGATTCTTCAGTAACAACCGATCCCTTGCTTTCCTCTCTTTCATCTGCTTTTCCTCCCTCCATATCCTCATTACTATTCACACCTTTCTGCAATCGATTAACACCCTGAACGACGTTCACAGCTTTCCTAAACATAGCCCTGGCGGAAAAGTTGGGCCGAGTGGCAGAAATAAGATTGACATCATTGGTCGCACCGGAGAGCCACGGATGAAGAAGAGCTTTTCTTGCTGTCATTCGTTTTATAGGATCGTAGGCTAAGAGTTTTGCAATAAAGTCCTTGGCTTGAATTGGGAAAGTAAGAAGAATGCGGGAAATCAAAATATCAGTAAAAGTTTCATAAGAACAGTCAACATCCGCTTCAATTTATAGACATAATCCCCCGCTCGCGACTTACCTTCTTTGGATACATCTGACCATATGCTGTCGTCAAAGTCATACGATCCGTCAATAATGGCATCAAACAGCTCTCCCTGCGTTTCACCATAAAACGGCGGCCTTCCAGAGAGCAATGCATACGTAATGACGCCCATACTCCATAAATCTACTGGCTTGCCATGTCCGACTTGTAACAGTACTTCCGGGGCCACATATCCCGGTGTCCCGCATGCTGTCGTGAGGATATCATTTCTATGCCGTAGAATTTTCGACAATCCAAAATCAGTAATCATAATGTTCGAATCGATGCTCTTGTCTCTAAACAAGAGATTTTCGGGTTTGAGGTCTCGATGGACGATTTCCAAGTCATGCAAATATGCGACACCGTCGAGGATCTGTCTGATAAGATTTGCGGCATCCTTTTCCGAAAAATAGTTTCTAAGCAAAAGTTCTTCGAACAGTTCACCGCCCTTGGCAAGGTCAGTTATAAAGTAGATTGCATCTTTGGTTTCGTATAGGTCATGTAAGCTTATAATGTTGGGATGTTTCACTTGTCTCAAAACGTCGACTTCTGTTGTCAGCAATTGTTCTTTACCTAAAGTAATGGGGGAAAAAAAAAGAAGCCAAATTTTAGACAATAACATTAAGGTTGAGTTTCGGAAAAATATCGTGAACAAGAATCGGCGAACTTTGCTACTTGTCGAGACTATGAAAATGTTACTAAACGCTATATTGTGATCTGTTATTTCCTAAAAATTCTTAAAACAGGCTTCGCAAGTAATACTTTTTTTTTCGCGGGTAAACGTCTACTCACGCGCAGCATGCACAAACAGTTCATCTCTTACCCCGAAATGCTTTCTTTTCCATGATTTTCAGTGCATATTTCTTTCCTGTACGCTTGTCGGTGCATTCTTTCACGGTGGCAAACGAGCCTCTACCGAGGACAATCTTGGATATCCGATAGTTTTTTTCTAGTTCGGAAGGAAACTTTGGCGTGCCATCGTCTTTTCTGAATGCGTCTAGCAGCTTTAGCATTTTGAGTTGGAAGGGGGGATGTTTCTCTACGGGAAATTTCCAATGTAGATCAGCATTGTTGATATTCCGAAAGATTTGGCGCAGTTTACTAACTACATTAATACTAGAGCGTCAAACATCGTGGTTTAAGTATGCCACAAAGCGGGCACGTCATTAAACAACAATAGCACCCCCCGCGACTTCTTTCTCGACAATGATTCTATAAAGGTGTTACACTGCAAGCAATTTAACATAACCTCCCTTTGTATTTTAAGCATAATTCGATCACTTAACAAGGTTATTAATTTACTTGGAAAACAACTTGTGTTCAAGGGGGATTGGGAGAGATGATCAAACTTTCTTATTGATAACGATAAGTAAAAAAAGATTGTGTTATCTAATTGGGTTTATGACAAGGTTATAATATGCATGAGGCTGGTGTGGCCGAAGGTATTACTATGGCTTATATCACAACACCGCCACAATTTGTCTACGTCACAAAGAGTTTGTTTTTTAGAAGTGATTAGCGTATTAAGCTCATGAATTGGGAAAGTCTACTTGCTTATATCCCAGCCCTTGGCGGAATGGAGGAGGACAGTGTTCAGAAAGCCGTTAACCGTCGAGTTTATTGACAAAAGTTTACGTTAGCAAAGACTTGTTACTGTATCAAAGCTGCAAATAATGCAAGGACTCTCAACATAGTTTTAAATAAATTACAACTAGATGTTACTTTAACTTTCAAAAACTGTGTTAGACTCTTAATTCATAGACAAACTTGTTAGCAAATTGCCCAACAATTATTATATGACGAGGCAAAATGTTCTCTAGCAGTTTTATTGACATTTGATATCCATGTCGCATCCTATATCTATCGCATTCAACCAACATTTTGCCAACATTCTCTATTGGGACATTTGACTCGTAGACAGTTTGTCAATAGCAAATTTGCAAATGCACTATTAACCAAGTCTCATGAGACAAACATAAAGTTCAATTACAATGCAATATTAGTATTAGTATGTGCTCCTGATGTATTGAGACTAATTCAAGACAGTAACTAGAGTGCGAGATGTATTTGTTGGCCCGTGTGTTTTTCTAATTGCAAAAAAGTATTTGTACCCACATGTTATTATGCCACTGAAGTATTGCTCTAGTCAATACTCTCTAAATTCTCGTTGGAATTTATACTTCGCGAAACATCGTATTTACGAGATACGTCTGCTGTGTCTTGGAACTGCCCAAATTTGCTTAGTTTCTATCAGGAATAGTGCATGTTTTATGTCCGATCTTCTTATGCGATTTTGTTTAACAAGATAACCGTTAAACTGACATTGTTGTTTTATCATAATGAATTAATATTGCGTCACCATTCTTGTATGACTGCGCCTCGATGTTTTGGTAATTCACGTGGTACGCCCATTCTTTTCTAATCCCCGAAACTGATAACGCCTCGACTAATATAGGATGAACATTCTTTCTGTGTGCGCGTTTGGCTTACGTATACACAACATCTGGTTCAAAAAGTTCTCTGTTGTTAAGTGGCTCTTTGACCCCTGTATGACCCCGTGCAGCATACAAATATTTCAATATATACACATATTTACTTTTTTTCTTTTTCGGACATAGGACTTTTCTCTCCGTTAGACAACAACAAAAGATAAAACCCTAATACTACTACAATGACTTCCGCATCTGATGATGATACTGGCAAAACTTATGAAGCTTACGACAGCAATAGTTCTGACTTGAATCTCCCTACGACTGGAACCGTTGTTCCTACGTCGCCTCAAATTACCGCTTTGGATAACCCAAGTTCGACCTATCCATCCCAGCCTGATCAAAGAAACTCACCTTCCCCAGTGAAGCCTGACCTCAATAGTGGATCGAATTCTGATACCGATATGGTAGACACGGAAACACCCGGACAGGGCGCCCCAGATGTTGAACTGGACCCAAATGAAGAAAGAAAAAAACGTTTGGAGGATATCATAGACCATAATAATAATAATAGTATAATTGAACAGAATGACATTGTTGACGAGACAATGACTGATGCCGATCAAGATATAGATATTACTGAGAATCAGACAATTGATGATAAGCCACCAGAAGGATTGTGCGTTGAATGTCGAGACCAGGTAAAAAGTTGACGAATTGAATATCAACTGAATAGCTGGATAATTTCCAAGCTAGTAGGGGCTAACTTGATGTCTGTATATGTAATTAACAGGAAACTTCATACTTGTGTGAAAACTGTGAAGAAAATTTCTGTGAGATGTGCTACGCTATGATTCATCGCACGGGTACCCGTCGAAAGCATACCAGAAAGAGTCTTAAACCGACTTCTGCAGAGGCTAACCCTCAAGTCGTCTCCAATGGTTTGAAATCTCTGACTAACGGTAACGCAACGACTGCAGCAGCCATTGACGAGGTATGTTCGGTGCCTTACATTTAGGTGGACAGGAGAGAATTCATATTTTCTTTTTCTTGAGTAAAAACGTTCGATTGTTTGAGAGAACTGTTTTACGTTTGCTGAACTCGACAATGATTCAGTGATGCTTTGATACGATACGCATTTTTGTAACCCGACTATCGTGCTTAAAATTAAATGGTTTATTTACATTTAGGCGAAAGATTACGACTCTGAAACCGAATATATAGGACCTGACTCAATAGAAAATTCGTTTAGTGGTACACAATGGGGTGACTGGATCGAAGAACGAACGCAGTACATACCGATTCGGCTGACGTTGGATGAACGAAAATGTCTGAGGCTGTGAGTATTTGGTCACACTGCTGAATTATTATTTATGTGCTAAGAGGATTTATTGTATTTAGAAGTTAATTGTTGTTGAATTAGTGTGCTAATGAATGTGATCATTGGTAAATGTATGGTTTAGATTAGAGGCAGCGCTGAATGTATCAGGTCAGTTGTTTGTATGATTGATCGATATATCTCACTTAAGGGCTATTTGGCTAACACCTAATCGGTCTGACAGAATATACGGATAAAATCGATATAATAACGTACAGCAGTAAATCTAAACGGATTGTACTGCAAATTAAGGAGCTTTGTGGGATTCTTTCTGGGCTTGTGGTATGTATGCCTATCTAAAATTGGCTGTTGGTGGTCGTAAATGTTGTGATATGTAATCTAATACTTACATTTGAATCAATAGGTTGCAAGGTAACTATCACGTATTGTCAGCAAGTATAATATTGTTGAATTAGTCTAATATGCAGCTGACTGTTCATAGCGACTATAAGAGAGGTCAAGAGCTGATTGCCGATAAAGACTACCGGGATAATGAAGAATTTTTCCAAAGTATTTTCGAGATTGGACGACGGCACAAAATCATGAATCCAGAAAAAATGAGAGATGCGTACGGAAAACTCATGTTTATGTTGATGGTAACTGAATTGAACTGATTTAATGATCAAGCCTTTCTGTAAGCAAGTCGAAATTATTTACCAAGATAATTGGTTCGTAGGACGCGGTCACCCCAGAGGTCCAAGATATACTTCCTCTCAAACTAGTTCGACCAATCAAGACCGTTCATAGCTTTCTAAAAGAGCGCGATGCCCTAAACATATTACACAACGATTTGGTGAAAATAGCAACGGCTGAAATTATTTCAGAAGGTAAATCACGGTCAAAGATTCAGCAAGAAATCCGAGAAAAGGAACGGGCTATCAACATTTTGAGTAACAAATATGCCAAGCCTGGCCTATTGGAACCCGAAGAAATCCGACAATGTTTGTATAGCATTGGTGACAATCACGCCTATTTGAGAGCGAATCGGTGAGTGATGTTTACCGACTAAATTTGTTTAAGGTTTCTATTTGTTATTCCAGTCATGTCGCTAAACTTAAATCAATTTTTCCTGCAGAGATTGTTGCGATCGTATGCTTGGATACTTAAACAAGTATTTTGATCCTCGTCAAGTCGAAGATAATTATTCGCTTGCTATACGCGCGGGTGTTCACGGTGCACGGTTGTCACATAGCCATGAGATGCAGTATTATTATGCGTACGTAAAAAGGATATTAAACATAGATTGGGGCATAAAGATATAACCATTAACTAAAAGAAGCAATTTGTCAAATTTATCTTGTTTCAGACGACTATTTTGGTTTAATGTCTAAATTTTATTTCGACTTTATTTTTATATTAGAAACCAAACGCTGGCTCTTTGGCGAGAAATTCAACACGAAATGTTCAAACTATGGACGATGGCTGATCATGACATGCTTTCCGAAAACAATACATACCGACTCCGTGATACTGGTCAAGGCCTAAACAGGGTACAATCATGCTTTACAGTGTCAAGAGTCATGCACTCTATCTTACATAGGGCTCAGCAAAAAGCACGACATTGGGTTGGAAGCTCGGTTATTCATTTGGGCGATAAGAACGTTCCGAACGCTCTTGTGTTCATTGACAAGGTACGTTGACAAGCGATCTTTTTACCTGCACATTTTTCTTTACATTCAACCATTTACTTAATGAATTCTCCACCATTGACAGTACAATCAAGTATCTCGCATCTTGAATCCTATACTCATATGCCTTGATACCATACCGAAACTGGCCAGAGAAAATGAAGGCATTGGCGATTACATAAGGGCAACATTTAATGATGTCGAAACCTTAAAGAAGGATATTCTCGTTGATTTCTTCCGCTATGCCTTTGATGGTAGTGGTGCAGATAACTTCTTTGATGCTGGTAGTTGCATCGATGGACGTTTGACTAGTGCTTGGAATTGGTGCTCTCAAATTGAAAAGAAGAGGTTCTTCCCTGTTTTCTTGTTAACGGTATGATCGGATAGTTAATGACAAAGCTCGTTTGTTATGTGTTTTCTGCGTTATGACATTGACTGATGACGTTAAACCATTAACCATTGCAGGGCTTCGTTGGCTTTGATGGCGGTGACTTTTAATAGGGTTTTTCTGGCTTATCTCACATTATTTACTTCAGCCTTTCTTCCTCATTTACTTTTAAAAGCTGTGTATCTTTTTTTTTGCAGTTGTAGTAGTGCGGATTGACATGAACGCTGGGACGTTGTCAAGATTTGAATAGTTGTATGTATTTTACCAACAGAGATAAATATCAACGTAAAAAAGTTAATTCTATAAACACGGTATGCGAACATAATACAAATAGACTTCAAACAAATAAAATTTGATGATTTCAGCGAATTCAGAATGCATCGTACAAAGTCATAAATTAACACTGAGATATTACCAGTAACGAGTTCACTATATGTAGTAGATTACAATTTTAACTATCGCGAGGACTTGATTACAATTTTAACAAGTCGGTGTTACAAGTTTGTAGATAATTGATGTTCTGGCCGGGATTCAATTGTTGAAAAGATAGCAGGTTATCGACTTTAACTCAACAGTATTGTATCTTCAAATCCCGGCGAGTCATAGGTCTAAAGACAGACGTAGTTTATATACAGGAAATATATATTCACTCATTTTTCGGGATAACCATAATCTTTTCGCAGTAACCATTTGACACATTTAGTATACGCCAAGAATGCGTGGCTTACGAGTTGTGGAGAAGCTGTATTAGTATGCATTGGGTCGATATTAATATCAGCAATCTATTTATTATGACAGTTATTATTATATTAGTATGTATGCATGTATGTAGAATATTATTAGCCTTGTTTGCACATAGAGTTAAGTCCAGTCACGTCCGCATATTGACAATACGCGACTCTATTTTAGGCCGTAAATGTCTGCTACGGTTTACATACGTTTGGCTATCAGAGTTTTTTGAACAGGACTATTGGATTAGTAAAGTCTATTTTGCGAATAATAAACTTTTTTTATTTCTAGTAACCTTGCGTTGGAACGTTTCTAAGTAGTACCAAAGGCAAATTAATGTACTCTAATGCGTGTTTGACGGTCCGTAGCTTTGTTTTATATTGAATTTGAGAGTATTGTCATAACATTGACTGTAACATGTCCCCAATTCAATTAGAGCTGGCGCGACCGGTATTGCTCTCTGGATTTCTTATACATGCATGCTGCAATCAGATTTTTCAAAGACGTTAATATGCGACGAAAAAGACTGACGCTGTTGGGCGATAAAACAACAACGTCCTTACCTTTTATGATAATAAGGCGCTTTAGTGATCAACCCAAATGCGAAAAGGCAGTTCAAAATCCAGAAATAACGAACGTTTTTAAATTCGGTACAATATTTGACGCGCATGTTGTCTTTCTGATTGTTAAACGATGGATAATAAAACATATGTTTTGGTCTTGATCCAAACTTGTCATAAAAATCATGATCGATAGTTTGATACTGCCGTGCAAAGCACTTTATCGGGCATCAGATATTATTAACATGTAGAGTAAGTACGGAATTCCGGATAAAAGTGTTCAGAGTCCAGGTTCCTATCACACGACCCTCAGGTGTTACATTCACGTATTATTGTTATAATGAACCGCTGTAAATTAAGGTTAGAAGTCATGCGCAAATATTTGTATCAAAGCGATATTTAAGAGTGAACTTGTGGATTATCGAAATGAGAACCCAATATGGAAAGAGACTTTTGAACCACTGAAAGTTTGTGCCGCATGCCTCATAATATAATTTGCAAAGCAGTGCGGCGAATAACAATTGATTGGTTACACCAAATTAACTTTATTTATATTGAAATATTAATATTATTATTAAATTTAACACGACTTCTTGGGAGTATATATTTGCTGATAACACCGCTTCTCTTCTCCCATTCTCTTCAATAGCAATTCAGCAGAGGATAGTGCGTAAACGAGCAATTCTTTACTACAAACATTGGATCTTATGGCATAGACATAAAACGCGTCCTTCTATACCGAAACATAATAATCTTTAATAAAGCTCCCATTTATTATAAAACAACACGAAAACCAATATAAACAGTGTGGACAGACTATTAGAAAAATAAACTATTGCTACTTCCATAACCTCTTTATCGAACCAACCAACTTGACCACGTCATGCCTGCCCGAATAACAAGAAAATACACTCATGAAGAAGTCTCCAAACACAACATTCCCTCCGACCTTTGGCTCATCCATAGCAACAAAGTATATGACCTGACCGAGTTTGCAGCCGACCACCCTGGCGGTGAGCATTTAATACAACGTTGGGGCGGAAAAGACGTGACGGATATAATGGCTGACCTTTCGTCACATGCACATTCTGAAATGGCATACGAAGTACTAGCAGAACTGTGTATAGGCGAGGTGGTCGACAGTGCGCATGAAGAAGAGGAAAGAGAGAACGAGTTGAAAGAAGAGCATACAGAAAAGACCCAAGAGAAACTGGATAACGAAACCAATCTTACTCGTCAGAGCGGTATTTCTAATCTTATTAATGAAATCGAGATCAGAATACGCAATGCTGATGGTCGTATGGAGGAGAAAATCCACAGCGCAGCGTCAAACGTCAAAACCGAATATGACGGAGGCGCTATTCGTGATAGCATCGCGTTTGAAGCATCTCCAAGTAGAGAAATACAAACAAACGGCTTTTCGGGTAGTAATACCAGCACTCCCTACAATATCACTCAATACTACACACCAAACCAAGGATCTTTAACCTTTCACAGTTCATCAGTTTCTCCAGTCTTCCTAACACCAACAAACGATAGTTCATTCGGATCTCCCATGCAAACTTCCACGCTCAATTCAGTTAATTTGTCTCGCAATTCTCCAGGATCACCCCATCCAACCTCTCCCGTCCCTTTCTTCGATTTCTCCGCGCCGCTAGTCCCACAACTCCTCTCGTCTTCCATAACAAAATCACAGTATCTTTCTCTTCTCAGAAACCCTACATGTCTTCCATTTCCGATCCGTCTGTTCCGCAATCCATACCTGGAATTTCTCTCTACCGCTCCGTGGTATATCGTCTTGTTGATCTGGGTTCCGTGGATGGGCTATCATTACAAGCTAGCCAGGGAAGGACTAGGAAGTTTGGTGTTGGCTGCAGTATTGGCTGGAGTATATGTCTGGATCATTGTGGAAAGGAATGCGTATAAAGCGTTCGAATGGTGGGAGAAGGAGAGAAAGGAAGAGGATACGTTAGCAATAATATGCCATTTTGCGGCAAAAGGAATACATTCGTTGGTTCCAACGGACAAGTGAGTATTTTAAAATGAGAAATGGGGGGGGGGGGGGGGGGGGATTGCATGTGTCAAAAAACAAGTAATTAACCCATCTACATTCTTACATGACTTGTCAGAAACCACCTCGTAACGCCGCCTATCATCGGTGCCATTTTCTTCCAACCTTTTCTTCGCCTGGCCTACATTCTCCTTCCGCGTTCCATGGCCCATGGGCTTATTTCTGGAATGATGCTCGGCTACATAACGCACGAACTTCTCCATTACTACTTTCATCATGCCACTGTAGAGAATGAACATTTGCAACTAATGAAAATAGAGCATTTTGAGTGTCATCATGGAAAGAGCAAGAAGAAATATTACGGGATTTTAGGAGGTATCTTTTAGGATCCTTCGTTCGAACTAGTGCACACGATGTTAGAATCATTGATTGAAGATTGAAAAAGTAATTTAATTGGGTTTCACCTACATAAAAGTATATTTGTCATTTTAATTTCTACACCATCTCACATAGTCGTTGAACAGATTATCGTTTATTTTTCTAATACTGCTTCTCAAACAATCAAATATTCATCACGCAAAGTTATCTTGAATCCTACACACTGGACCCTTTAACATTTCAGACTTTTTCCTCGAACGAAAACTTATTGGCTTTTTTTCTCTTGTTCAACTTTTTTGTCATAGAATTGTAGATAGACAACGATGTCTGCTTATCATAACATAAGCATTATATAGCTTGCTGTTATTTTCAAGACAAATATAGAAAGCGTTCGTGCATCGAATAATTTCAGAATAAATGAAGTGCGCTATAACAAAAGTGGATGAAGTGAAAATTATTTGATGCGAGTTGAGAAATTTTATTTTCGCCATTACTTTACTCTTAATAAATACTTGAACTGCCCAGGCAAAAAGTGACGTTACAGCTAGAAATTTTACCGATTATTCGGGAGGCATTCATTTCACCGACAATCATTTCGCCGACAGGTACATTTCACCGACAAAAACTACCAAAAAGGATAATTTCAAAATAATGCTGGCGAAATGATTGTCGGTGAAATGAACCGGACCCGATTATTCAATATCTGGTATCCTTCAGCTTCAGTACCCGATCTTTATGTTATTAATGTTATTAATACTGCTAATGATGACGACCCCATTCGTCTCGTAAAAGTGATATGAGAAATCTCAAAATGTTCTCGATTGAATTAAAGATTCGGGCTGCAAAAAGACCGGGACGTTGGAAGCCGAATTTCAAGTCACTTTGAATTTGATGGCAAGTATGTTTCGGGTCATTGTTCCAGCGATAACTCCAACAAGCTATCTGCATTATCATTGAGAATTTCGCGGCATATAAGTGACGATTTATAAATATATGCGGCCCAAAACGTGAGTTATGGTTCACCGCAAATTTAGACCTTGTTTCATCGGAAAAATAAAATGCTTATGTGCCTAATTTAAGCGACATGTTGGGTTAAAATAAGAACCTTCCACGAAAGAACCGAAGCAAAACCAGTCTATTACAAACAATTTCAAAGGTGATCATGCTTAATGACTACTCTAATTTGGTGACGTTTTTGGAAGACAATTTTCGCGCTGCCAAGTCGATTAATAATATTATATATAATCGTTAGTGAAATAAATTAAATTCCATCGCCTACGATTGTTAATTGGATAGCGAGTATAAATTAGACGCGTCGAATTTTATCGCCTTTAATAATCAATACACTCTTCAATTAAGGAATATTATTACTTTTGTCTTGATAATAATTCTATTCTTGTGCGTTGTTGTTGAAAGGGTTTGTTGCCGATATACCAGCAACGAAAATTAGATTAACAGCTAGTTTTGGTTAAGATAACGCTGGAACATTGGTATTGGAATATACTAGAAGAAGCAGTTCGTATCATCGATGTCAATTTTTATTACAACATTTGGATGAGAAAGAGCGTCTTAAGCGTTACCCAAGGACCGCTAAATTTTGCGAACCCTTATCGATATATGTATTAGCGGTTCGTAATTAATACCGATATTTATTAGAGAATGAATCATTAATATTCCAGAATATAAAAAATACTCGATTATTTACAATAGTGTGTGAATGAGCGATAATGATTGAACACACTGGATAATAAAAAACAACTCGTTTATTTGCAATCAAACACACTAACCGTCATGTGAGTGACGCTGACACACATAACGATAACCTCACAAGATTTGTTCACTTGATGATTCGACTATGTCGTTAACTGTTAATAACCCAGTAATTTGACAACTTCCTTGGAAAGTTAACATAACTTGGGACTTGAGAATGGTGTACTTACTCACAAATTTACCAAAATAAAATTGGCGGCGTTTATTATGCTGTTCACAATGATTACATAAAAATGCTGATATTTCTTGGAAGTGACAAAGAACGTACACCAACACTTGTGAATGAGTTTGCTAGAATATACTCACTTCCAACACACAAGTACAATAATAATGTCAGGCAATTTAGACGATATGCCAAATGGCTTGAGGAGATAAGGGATTACCGAGTATATTACTACTATTGTTACTCTCGATATGCTCATGCGGAATACTCCGATGTAGTCCCGTGTGGTGCATTTGCGATTATAAACAACTGTCCAATGGATGGATGGATGGACTAGCAACTCGACGAGTTTATTAAGAAATCTCAATTACAAACAAACTCTGCAAATCATGTGTATATTCCATACGGTTGTATTGGCGATATAATGGAGATGGACGCGGATACTTGTATGGTCTACCTGCTAATGCTGATGTTAAATTGATTCTAACAGACGAGACAGATGATTATATTATGCCGAGGTAAACAATTCACTTATGCGCCATGTTTATTAAATGGTTTAAATGATTATTGACTTGTTATTATGTATCATTTCCACTAGTTATGTGATAAGATCCGGATATTCTTACCACGGATGTTTGAGTTACTATCGGATTTACATACAAAGCAAGCTGAATATGACGAATATGGATTATGTCTGGCGGTGTGTGCATGTCGATTATAACTGCATTCTGTTATGAATGTAAAGCACCACGACTTCTTGACTGGACTGCGGGCAACAAGTCATTGGATTCATTCATGATGGAATCATGGAAGAACACGAATGACGAAAATGATGCGTATCTTCAATGTATTGAATGTTCTCTATTAACAAACATACAAGAGATAACATTATTACGCCATGGATGCACGCATACAGCAGAACTTTTAGAATCGAGAATAAACGAAGTAACACATGTAACACTCGAACGGGGTTGACGAACAAAACAATCCATTATCGTCATTTGATTTTCATCAGGTAATATTTCACGTGTAAACGTAAATCGTGTGTGTCGCATGTTTAAATTAGATCGGGTCTGGCGGTTATGAAACAGTTTATCCAAATTTAGAAGCCATTCAGTAGTAGAGTACATAGGCAGACTCGATAAGTCGGCAAATGGCTGGAAAATTTTCTAAATAAATGGGCACTGATCTATCAAAAAGACGGTTATCGCATGATGACGATCATTGATAAATTTGGATGCAAAGATTTGACTGTATGGAAACAACCAGTATTACTCAACTTCAAACTGTTGTAGAGTAAGGTTTTACTAATGTACATGATGAAAACTACCAGGCCAGGATATGTAGAGGGGACTTCTGAGAACACGTCTATGCAAAAAAAGCAATTTGTGTAACCATGACGATAACCGCCTTTTTGATAGATCAGTGCGCCCAAATATCCATGCTTGTTTGTGTTGAATTATTCATTCGATTTTCTTCGATTTCCCGCTTTAAGTGTCTTAAACCTGAAACAACATTAAGACGATGTTGAAAATAGAATATTATGCAATTCAAGATAATAATGTTTCTATCGCGTGTCGTATCCTGATCCTCCGCCGGTAAATATGAATGTAACTGTATTTTAATGCGTCGAATACTGTTAATTAATATTTATTTAAATAGGGAAACCCACGCGCGCGAATAATTTGTGAGATAGGCAACCTGCAGTCTACCGCAAACTGGAATGATAAATGCGAACTATGGATGAACCAAGCGTATCTACGATATGTGCTTGGAATAAAATTACATACAAAGAAAGTAATAGATCGATGACAGCCAGGTTGTGGCACATTCCCATATACAAAAAAAAGGAAAGCCATAATTTTCAAAGAGAATTATTGTCCTCATCTCTGCGTCAATAAAGCTGAGATTGTTACATTATATCAAATTGAATCCTGTTACAGGTATACATGTATAAGTCTAAAACCTAAAAGCATTTATGAAGCAGGATACAATAGTCGGGTTACTGCCAGGAAACATCCCGATTGGTATATATCAAACTCTTTATTTTAAGTATGGAAAACAGAGTAAAAGTTAAAAGGCTAAAGACTATGCAGATAAGTATTGCAATTGTTTACATTCAATTATGCTTGAATATGTGTTAAATAAAAAACTTTTTTGTATTTTGTAGCGCTTATGTAAATTTATGAGATGTTATTTTTTGGTGCAATCTAAACGTTTATATCGCAAAATTCCATTTACCTATTTTTGCAAACGTGCTCTAAGTGAGTTTGCTATGTAACCTATGATAAAATTTTGCAGAAACGTTGGCTGGAATGTGTGCTAACAATGGTATAAATTCCATGCTGGTCGTTAATTAATTAATAATCGAAGGGGTGGTCCGTGACTTTTGAGACAGCACTGTACAAATATTGTACATGATAGGGTAAAATGGCTGTCACTTGATCTAAATACTAATAAGCAAATTAAAGGATTGCTTCAAGAAAACAGAGCGTTTTGGATATGTTTGTTCACAACCATTAACTAAATCAATACAGAAGACGTTAAGCATCGACACCAGAGAGCGTCGTTTAGTCGTGTTATAATTTCTTTCTTTTTTGCGAGTGATTGAATAAATCCTTCAGCAGTATTATATTAATCGTCAGCGAACAGTAAAGTGAAAATAACGTTTGGCCATTTATTATTATACTGTTACTAGTGAAGTTTCGATATAGTGAAGAAAAATCTCCGTCCCGTTGACTTCTTTATATCGAGGTCAACAACATATTAAACCCCTCTCTGTCATGTATTATTTGAGGCATTAGTGTTGGAAATACTTCTATCAACAATTATTATATGTTCACTTTGTCTGGTTTTGTTGCAGTCTGCCCCATTTTACAACAATTTTTTAATGATAATTGTAGTGAAATTAAAAATATGTCACAAATTTAGTGAACAAGCATATTAATATATATTTTCTGAATAAATGCAGTATGTGGAGCAATAATTATGACACTTCACACTTGTAAGGATTAAACTTAAGTCGCACAAATTCATTTAATCTCATTAAGCAATGTTGCACAATTTTGATGATCAATATCAATATTAATATCAGTAGTTTGACGCCCATTTACCTGCTTCGATAACAACCAAAAGTCCCAGCCCTCTCTCTTTCTGACTTTATCCCCATTGACTTCCAATATATGACTATAAAGCAAAGCCTACGGGTACATATATGTCACTTAGTAGATGTACGATTATTATTGGTGCTGATTGTATTCATTAAATACCTCACGAACGAGAGCCTCATCTGTCGTCAGATTCTTTACTCTATTGAATCCTGCTAATAACGATACATCGACGTATCCTTCTAAGTCCATCTATCAGGAGAATTTAATAATTATTATTAGTCGGTTATAACCATCAACTAGCTCATGTTAAAGCGTTATAAGCATCAGCAGCAATATGACCATCAAAATAACAATCATGACTCATACATTAGTCCGTAAGAATATATCTTTACAAAGGTTTTCTACGCTGAAATAATATTCCCTACAAAACACCGATAAATTCGTTCATTAATATATCTAGTCTTCCACTGTCATTTACCCTTCCGCTCTCCAAAACCAACGAAGTTCTAAACACAAGCGCATAGTTAAATACAAACAAACTCGAACATCGGCTGTACAATTACAACAGTAAACATAGAATATTAAATTCATTATCCTTACACTTGTTGGAGAATGTAGTATTTCAATAAATCAACATCAATCACGACAGGCATTTTGGCGCTGGGAAAGACATTATATGTCTGAGGATATCCAGGAGAATAGAGAGCGCTAGCGGAGCGCGGTGGGCCACGGGATCCGTATGAACGACCTATAATGGTAGACAAAAGTATGCAAATAAATGAAAAATTGAGAAACAAGCGCTTATTAAGAGACTGCACTATTTGTATCTAACATCCTATCTCAATAGATAACAAGCACTCGACACGCTCTAATTTAGTCCATTGTTGGTTATGATTCAAAATTTATCTTTTTCGGATAAGTAAACCACAAAAGAGATAAATTTCTTACTCGTAACTGTGTAGTCAAGAAAGAAGAAACAAACCTCGACCAGTTCTCCGACCACGATACATATTACTATTGGCATGGCCGGAAACTTGCCCATTTCCGTCCGAATTATGCAAATATCTCCTGGCATACTGTCCGCTCGCGGATGGTGGTACTGAGGCTCTTCTTCTATGACCTGTCGTTGTACCATGTCCATGGCCGTTCCCGTTCCCTTCTCCATTATTCCCTTCTCTTCCATTTTCTCTTCCATTCTCTCGTCCACTGCTTTCTCCTCCTTCTCCTCCTCTTCCTCTTCGTCCCTCTCTATCCCAGCCTCGGCCTTCCTTTCCCTCTTTGTCCCATCTACCCTCTCGACCATCTCGGCCATTAACATCGTCATATTGTGAATATCTATCACGTCTATTGTGCGAAAGTGTGATTGTATCTTCGCTACGGCGTCGATGCTTGTATCCGTGATGGTGAGTCGGAAGCGGAGTTGTATGAGTAATCGTTGCTGGAATTGGAATCCATTTGCCCTTGCCTAGATTAGAAGGGGAAATCGAATTGAAAAAGGAATGTAAATGTGAGCAGTTTGAGCAAGCGTTGGAAATGTTGTAGTTGTAGCCCAGCAAGAATGTCGGGAGCACGCTTGTGAACGTAAGTGTAGCAATTGCAGCAGTTGCCTATCAGTAAAACTTATGTCGTTATTATAATTTTGTCATTATTATTGCACCTGCTGCAAACACAGCCTGTACGTGAACTATCTGCAATCACTATCGCTACATAGCGTACGTCTTTCATTCTTCTATTGTTATATGAAATTACCTTCACCTCTTTATTTCCTAAACTTCTGCTTCCATCTATTAGTTCTTTCTTGACACTTTTCCCATGACCCAATATATCTCCAATCCTGCCCAATTTCGTTATATGACCTAATCATATCTTTCTCCTTTTGTTCACGCTGTCTACTGTTAACTCACCTCTTTTCGGACTGCTCCCTTCCTCTTTCTTCCCGGTATCATTCTTTTTCTCCGCTAGCTCACTTGCTTCTTTTGCTTTATCTTTAATCAATACCTCGGCCGGAGCAGGCCAACTACTTTGATCCTCTAACGGTGGTAGTATTGGAGCAGGTTTTGATTTTTTAGAATTTTTCTTCGTAAATCGTTTTGTTTCTGTTTTGACGAGGGGAGGGATCAGATGGATTAACGGCCACAATAAGGATTAGAAAATAGAAGAGAAATGTGATGAGATGAGAGTAAGATCCAGAAAAGCGACGATTGAATGACATTTCTCGCATGCCATATAAAAACACAAGACGCTACAACGGGGTAGCCGATAAGCGTTATTTGTTTAGTGTGAAATGTAAGCCAACTCATTTACCTTCCCGTCAACCCAACTCTAAAGTTCCAAACTCATTCATGGCTAATCTGTTCCCCACGACCAAATAATCCACATCCATAATCATCATGCAACCCAACTTCAACCTACCATCAGCAAATTCGTTCACTATTCCATTCTCTTTACAATTTCTATCCCCATCTTTCCTTATATTCTCTCCCGCTTTTCTATGATCTCCATCTCCCTCTTTGTCTTTTCCTTCTCGTTCCTTCTCCTTTTCCTTTTCTTTCTCTTTCTCTTCTTTCTTTGCCTTCGCATTCATAGCAGCCTTGCGCATTGCCCAAACATTAACGGTGGGAATAGGGGCTGAGGTGAAGTTTTTTGGCGACGTAGGGTTAGGGGTCGTTGATGATTGATCGGATGCGGAATTAAAAGAAGAGGTGGTGGAGAATGTAGGGGAGGGAATGGGAGAAGGGGGTGATGAAAGTTTTGAATCAGACTTTGAGGTTGTAGAAGGAATGTTATCTTTTTGAGAAGTATTACTATCGGTAAGAATGTTATTATGAGAAATCTCACTCTTAGTACCGGTATCTTCTTTCGTATCGTTTTCATTTCTATAATTCTCACTAGTTTTTCTATTATCATCCTTTTTGTCGCTGTCGTTCTCTTTGTCCATGATCTCATTAGTAAGGTTTTCTGGTTCGGGTTCTTTTTTGTTTATTTCGCCAGCATCTTTATTCTCAGAGACATGACCATTAATTTCTGCGGTAGTCGAGGAAGAAGAGGAAGAGGAAGAGGAGCAAGACGGGTGATCCGGAGTAGTAGTTTTCGCGGGGGGTTTAGGCAGATCGACGTTGGCGACTGGAGCGAGGGCGACATGAGACTCGGGTTGTGAAGTTGTTGGACTGACCATGGTAATTATTTTTTGGGTTTGAGAATGTTTTAAAAATATATCGATATGTGGGGTGTATATAAAGTCAGGAGTGTTTTTGGGTGTGAATGTAAAGGGAGAAGGAATAGTGTCGTTACGCAGTTATGATGGGAGGAGGGGCGACCAGAGGTAGAGAGAATGAAAAAATTTTTGCTTATGATTTTTATTATATTTTTTTGTAAAATCACGGGCTATTTTGTGGCAAGTGAAAGAGAAGGGATGGGATAAATTTTTTTTCCCTCGAGATGATTGATATATAGTTTGAGGACACGCAGTTGATTAGTTGATGGTGTTGCGTGTGTGTGTGTGTGTGTGTGGGGCGGGGATACGATAGATTTGCAGCAGTTGATTGCAGTTGATTGAAAATGATTGCAGTAACTAGATTCTGGGCTCCGAATACATCCGTAGTCACTATTACGTCAGCATGTTGAATAACCCAGTATTTATACTAAGAGAACTTTTTAATAATTAAAAAAAAAATAATGAACAAACAAACAATAGGGCTAAGGTTCCAAGTCGTAAAGAGACAAAAATACATTCCCTCTCTTCTGTTATCATCTTATTAATCATTAACCATTATTAACTACTTTTGCATTATATCGTTTATTCATTCTCCTCACCCTGGTTTGTTATCCAATCATACCCGTTATTCTCATCAATTCATCATATTTTTAGATCTACGCATTTCGTCCGAATCCGAACAAATATACAACATCAGTATCGATATATCAGTATCAAAATATACACATTAAACTAAATTCTACAAGTCACCGGCACATAATCATTCGATAAAAGCGTCACTCAAACAAACATTCTATGCGACATTCTTACCTTCTTGGCTGTGCGGGTGCATGCAGAAACCGCAACAATCACTGTCAAGAACAAGACAAATTTATATAACAAATAACGAATGGGGTAAACATCTGCCATAGAGATAAACAACGACATGTTTGTCATTTGAACGAGTACCTCGACTTATTGCTCCTACCGCTACTGTTATATTGTTAATAATACTACGCCATTGCTAACACCAATAAATACTAGCATACTGACTTCCACATTCTATAAGCTGCGAATCGAATATTTACTGATACTCACGTGTATTTACAACAATTAACTGATGATTCCATCGACACAGCCACGTGATGTGTAAGTAAAAAGGAAACATGTCGGTCGCACCGAAAAGCCTGTATCATGTATTAATTGCAAAAAATATTCCTCATTCTTAAATCATTTGTGGTATAAATAAATAAATGTGCAATTACGCTTAAATCTTGGCGAAATTAGAGTACTTTTGTACACCTTTTCTTTTTTGATTAGTATGACTGGTTTTTGTTAATTTAAGGTTCTCGGAAAGGAAATAAATAAAATAGCAAATACGTATTCCCATTATGTAGCATTAACGTTAATTAGTTATGTCTATCAAAATACCCGTCACAAATATCCACCAATACACCAATACACCAATACACCAATACGTTTGAGCATCGAGTCAAATAAAAAACGCCTCACAATATCCCAATTCATATTTTACTGTCTTCAATCTTCCGCATTTCTAATGTTATCCAGCACATAATTCTCCTCTTCGCCCTCATCGTCATCTTCATCTGTATCTTCGTATCCGCTTTCGTGTTCAAACAAAGATACGTCAACAGCTACATCCCCCTCTTCAACAAATGTCATATCAGATCTGGTCAATGTTTCATCTTGTTCGAATAACTGTCGGCCTACGGTAGTTAATATGATCATTAGAGAGCAGTATTATAAAGCCATTGATTTAATATGGCACAATGCTTCGTGCAGCGTAAAGTTAGACATGTTCGTCAAGTATACAAATTAAGATCAACGACTTGTCGCATTCTCTTCTTTAAATTCACCTGTTGGTTTCTGTTTCCTGGTTTCCTCACGCCTTATTGCAGCGCTTCCTCTCGCTGCTTCCTCTTTTTCAAATAACTCCTGATCAAATCGTGCTTTCCATTCTAAAAATGACGCTACTGTAACCTTGGTCCCTTGGAACTTGGATTCTTCGGCCTCAATTTCTCGCCTAAGTCTCTCTTCCACTTCCAGTCTCCGCTTTTCTTTGTTTTCAACAACATAAGATGTCAACATATCCTTCAATGATGTTGCCAAGTCGAATCCTATTGGCATGCCGAGCGAACCTTCTACCTGAAAGGTGATAAAAAGTTGGCCCAGAGTAAGTAGACATAAAACACAACGAATACAACTGGCCACACTTCCCAAACTGTCTTCAATGCTAACTCACAACTTTAAGCAATCCATTCAAAAACTCGTCTTGCTCTGCATCTGATAATTCGCCCTTGATTCTTTCGATGCTTATCTCGGGAAAACTTTCTGGATATGTTGGAGTAAATTTTATGCGTAATGCTACCGTTACTGAAAAGTAACAAGACAGTAAAAACATTGAGTGAGGGCATAAAAATCTTGACGTACAAAACACAAAATACGCACATGGCGCATCTATGTCTTGCTCTTCGGGTTCAAGTATTATTCGAAATTCGTCTTCGGCAATCTCTGATCGAATCAAATGGAATTGAATTTTAATTAACAAAGAGATGCGCTTTCTTCCCAACAACACAAACAAAAGTCCGTATTAATCACTCTCCAACCAAACGCATACCTTCTAACTCATCCGGATATATACTTTTTAATACTTCAAGTTCTTGAGTTTGCTCTTCTTTATAGTCTAGAGAACAGTTCACGTTCGCGGGTTTGAGACACACGATAGTGATGTAGCGAAGTGAGATGGTGATTTCTCATGAATCAACCATGTGATCTTCCGCTGAAACTTACCCATTTGTTATGCGAATATCACAACACAAAAAAATTCTCTTCTCAAGGAATCATGTCATCTTATCTTATCGTATCAGTATTATTGATCAGTTAAGATCTTTGTACGACGAACAGTTTACACCGCCATTTGCAACGTGACGTATGGCTTGGCGTTGTGCTTCTGGCGAAAGTAGAAACAAACGGGTAAAGGGATTTCCAAAGTAAACGCTATTACTATGTAGAAGGCGTTATTGGTGCATGTGACACCAAGACAAGGCAATGTGTGACACTGGTCACTGTTGGAGAAAAAGACAAATCTCGACAACAAAATCATCCTATCCAATCGAGAACAATTATAGTCTTCTCTTTTTTCCTTTTCAGATACTAATACAACAGGCATCATGATTCTCACCTTCACATCAGTTTTTGCTTTGCGCTAATACTAAATCGCTACTAACTACAAAATTTAAATTTATTGAACCTCGACTGCAAATGCATTCAAAATAGTTGATGTGGCTTTACTTTAGTATAATTGTGGCTCAGACATAATTCATAGACTATTTTAGACCCCTTTTGATTGAACGTTTATTAATGCAGGATTGTCTTATATAAAATATAATATGAAACTAATTTATGTCGTCGAATCTATTACTATTATGGATCCAAAGAACTTGCAGCACGATCAAAAGTATTTCAAGGAAAAGAGATTGCTCATTATTATTACGGCTTTAATATGGTGCCAAATTCTTGTGGAATATTTAGATAAAAAACCCCACTTATTATTATTGAAATTTATCAAATACAACCAATAAACGAGATTAATACTAATGCCAACATAGAATGTTAATGTACCAAGGAGATATGAGAACTAAATCAAATATGAATAATTGTTTCCGTTTGTCAGGAGTATTATGAGCTATGATTCACTGAATAGCAAGAGCAGTATCAAAGTTGATAATAAGAAGAACCAAGTCTAGACATGTGCTTGTCTTCTTTTTCAAAACTATATTCTAATCTTATTACTTACCTTTGAATGATAAAGTCTGGAACTTTGGCTTAGCACTAACATTGTTCCAGACATTGGTGCTTTTACCTCATAACTGCATCGAGCGCCTTTGCAGCTTGCCCTAACCTTGTTCTAATTCTTTTTTTTCCTGATAAGTAACACAAAACCTCTTCATAATTTCGTGCTTTATTACTTAATTTTCTCATAAGGTTTTCAGGAGTGAATTTATTCATTGCTAAAACCAATCTTTTCAAATTCTTAGTTTAACTTTTCGTTTTTTTCTAATAATTATTTATTTATCTGTTTTGACGTCTGTTATTGCTACCATAATAATAAATTATTATCATTTTATTTATTCTGTTTATATACATATTTTTTTATGAAAGTATATGACGTACATTATTATTTTTAGCTTTTAAAAATTAAAAGCGGAAAAAGCTAACGAGATTCACTGAAAATTGGACGGAGACTTAGTCTAAACACTTATTTGTTACCAGTATAGGTTATTGATCATGAACAAGTAATACGTTTAAATTTTATCTTTAAATGGGCGAATAATATGATAAAGGTCTTTATTTAATTTGGTTGTTTCGAGAATACTTGCTATAATAAATTAAATTCCGTAAAGCATGCTGATATTTAAAGAACTTACATCAATCATCAGATAACGCTTTGAGGATTAATAGTCCGTTAAGATGTTTAATTTATAATAAAACGATTATAACAGACATTCCTACGATTAAAATAATAACAGAAACGACAACGCTATGATTAATCTTGAGATATAAATAGTAATAGGCTTCACTGACAATGAAGAGTATTTGTGTGACGACAATGACTTAATAAGTAAATTTACTTTACTATGATAGTAGGCGACTATAACGGTTTGTCCCATATTACATGCCTGTAGCAGTGACTGTTGTGGTTAAAGTAAGCAAGAGCTTTAACGAGAAGCATTGTCAATTATGGAGGATTTATATGATGACGGGTTTATACATGTCCATATTATCCTCTTTTAGATTCCACCACGATTCACCCTCGAGGTTATCGATCATTTCCGTTTAAATTTAAACTTGGTTTATTTATTATTATATGGGATATTAATGCGCAAAGTATGGGCGTAAATTTAAAGGATTCCATTCAAAAGCTATTGGTTTTAACATGCATTAATATTTGTTCTTTTGTTGTTATTATTTATTTCATGATTATCATGTGCAGCCTTATCGTATACGCAAAAATGGTGATTGCCGAGAAATCTTGTTCCAAAAGCCAAACAAACGGTCATCACGTTATACCGACGTATTTAATCATGTGATAAACACCGGAATGCTAGTCTTTCATATGATTGTCTAGCTGCGCCCTGCAGGATTACCCATACGAGGAGGGTGTAGGATATAAATGGATATTTTTTCTAAATAATGACTGAGTACATACGCAATGTGTACAAAATTCGCAATGTGATTGGAATTATAAGACATGCAACCGTTTTTCGATTAACCGTCGCATGTATGATCACTCTATATTTTATGGCTGTCAACATTGGAAAGATCCGTCCGTACAACAAAAAGCTTACTTGTACAACATAGTCTGTAGCAGCCAGAGGAAAAGCTTTCTCATACTTGTTGTCAACCGTAACATGGAATACAAGCGCCCAACGAATTTCGTGATGCAAGAGATCGCCGGATGGTTCGCACGGTCATAATTACCCGCATCCTCCCAGCCGCCGCTAAATTTAATTGCCCCATAAATATGACAATCAATTTGCTCGAGTCCTATTACTGATTAATTGATTACTAATCCTATCTTTCTCGCCTCACCAAGTTTTCTAAAATGAATCGTACTCATTTGTAGATATGCTACGCATGGTGCAGTACCGAAACTGCTGTTTGCGATGCGATGAAATACTTGATGTGGCCATCAAAGTCGAGAACGTTGCAGTGTAATTACATCTGGCGGCTGAACAGTCGTTGAATTTTCGTAAATGAATCTGAAGGAACAAATAACGCTCATATGCCGATGTATTAAAACATAATAATTGACGCATTCGGCTATGCTTTCTAAACCATTCTTTTTTTAATTGACACGGTATTAATTTGGTTTAGTGGATATTATGGTTATAGTTAGAATTCGTAACAAAATAGTATAGTCAACGTCATGGCATATTCTGGGTTTGGCCCGTTTCGGAATTCTCACGTTACAATAATCCCATACATGAAATGTCAATTCTCGGCCAATTCGATCAGATTAGGAAAATGCACATGACAGTTGATTCGAGAGGCCACGCCTACTGTAAAAGTTAATTCCAAGTATTGTGAAATTAAATGCCCCTAATTTTGTTTAACAGAATATTAGTATTAAATGAAGTCAAAGTGGCGACTGACAAAGGTCCAAGATATACGACGCTTGATGTTGAGGATATCCTCTAATTCGGTAAATTTCCTTCACCTGACAGTAATTTCTTTGCCTGACGAGGATAATAATCAATTTAATTGTCTATAGTGAGAGCATGCTACGACTAAGATAACGGGAACAATTAATATTTCGATTTCACTTGGCTAATTACGTTCGTTAGTCGCAGTAACTTGGCTGAATGTAAGAATTAGATGTTCCATCAACAATTTAGCATTTACTTATTTCCTTGGATGGAATTGATAGCGATACAATTTTCTATATACTTTTTATCACTGCGACTTATGTGCAATTGTTTAACAGCGAGTTTCAATCACACAAAAAATATAGAACTGCTGCGCAAATTAATTTATATTGCGTACAAGTATTCTCGACGTGTATCCGGGTGAAATCGGTTTCATATGCTTCGTCAAAGTCTCATTGAAGACATTTCAATCATGTCGAGGTAATATCTGTTGAAGTGCTATTTGTTGGCTTTTTTTTTTAGCCATCCATATTTGCTCGCGTCTGCTCCACTGGTAGTGCCAATTTTACTACAATCAAGAGAATATCATCGATGTAGTCACCAGCTTTATTATTTTAATCAATGTTCAAAACTTCAATAGTTGAAAGTCAGACTTTACACTCTTCAGTAAACGTTAACGTCTTTCTCTCTCAGAACGTTTCAACATATGCGTCGGCATGACGCAATATTACGTCAATTGAATGTCTAGCTTACGAAACACGACACCAATTTTTCGAGACTATGTTAACTTGTTGAGATCAAATAGTACCAACGTGTTTCTGTATGTTATACATGAATTCGATTCTTTTTATAAATTTACTCAAACTACTATCTCAAGGGAACATATAGTAATCATACGATTATGTTAATATAATATTTCGTGCTTTAAGCTAAACCTTTCGTTTTCTTTTATCATTACTGTAATCATTTTCTATACATATAAACCAGACGTTTAAACCCTATAAACAAAGCATATCATTCATCAGTTCTATTTCCCCGATGCACGCACACACATGTCTGATTCATTAGGAACACAAATGTTCTTACCTTCTGTTGACGACTCGCTACGTCCTAGTTTCTGAAATATCCGAAACCCAAGTTCATCCATTAGATACTTGTGAAAATGTTCTGGTCGAAATTTGATGTTGTTATAATTTTCCAACGTTATCTAAAATTAAGAATGCGAATAAATGGACTGTCTACATCAGTCATCTGCTAATAAGTATAAAAAAAGTCAAATGTATGCATCTTTATTTCTTCTCCTACCTCTGATATTTTCTTGTATTTCTTATAAGACTTGTATTCCTGTGGTTCGAATAGAAATATCCCATTGTCGTTCAGACTTTCGTATATTTTGCGGAAGCATCGTTTAATTCCTTCATCTCCATGATATAGGTGAATCCACTTTGAAACAGAAAAACTAATTTATAGGCAGTGACATCAAAAGATCAAACAGTTGGATGGAATTAGATGCTAATGCCAGTAGTAAATAAACAACTACTAGATAATGAGATCGATTAACGAAATAGAATAGTTAGAAATATGAATATTAACGGTTCTCGATAATCTAACATGTTTTTGATAACTCACAGACATATAGTATCAAACTTTTGTCCCACAACCGTCTCGGCCATCCAGTCTTCGGTCTCAAATTTAATGTTTTCGAAATCCTTCGTCTCTGCGTCTTGTTTTATTCCCTCGTTTGCTTTTCTAATCAATACAGAATCAATATCTATTCCCAACGTCGTCTTGGGTCGAAACTTCCTGGCTAGTCAAAACAAGTGATGTCAACTAAGACTTTTCTACGTGGCGTGATATAAACAAGATATCTAACTCACGCAATGTCTAAGTACTTACCAATGGCGATAGTCAAATCGCCCGAATTACACCCAATGTCTAATATATTCCTTTCTTCAAACCAATCTCTCTTAAACAGAGCTAGCCGTGAATCGTCGTTCGTCGCTGGATTCTTTCGTTTATTATAGTATCCGCGGTAGTTACCGCAAAAATATGGTTTTCTATGCTGCAGAGCTTTGCGTGCCCTTTTGCGTTCTATTGTCGCTTTCGAAATTGACGACTCCATAATAATGGCTTGACATGCAAAATCGCGGGAAAATATACATGGCACAACAACAATGTATTAATATAAAATGATGACGTTTTCTGTAACACAATTTTTAAAAGAACATCCGTTCGCAGTGATTCATTATGAGATCTATTACAAGACGAAACGAGGACGATGGAAGGGCAATCACTTGGCTACCACGAGAAATGATTGTTCGATTCTACCGATAGTTGATTCATACGATTGGGCTCTCTTATGCATTACTATCATAATGTCATGGTAGACATAACGGTTTCTTTGTCTTTAGGCCCATAAATGATGCATTCTCGGCACATGCTAGCGAGAGTATTAAGAAGTAATCAACATACAATCTCTTGTTTTTATCTCGCATGTCAATCGTATACGTCAAGCAGAATAAGGGAAGAATGTGCGTCAGCGCTAGAACAAACCCACCATAGGCCTTAACCCTATATGTCTCTTTGATGACATGTGCATATTTAGATCGATCTACTAGATGGTAGTAGCAATGGATACGATAATACTCAGATTGTACCACCATTAAAAAAAAAAAAGATTTAAAAACTATATTAACTTTAATCGCGTTCTGAGCAAACATGGATTTCTCGCTTGACAGGATAATAATTAAGGATTTGAACGTACGGACTATACTGGGGGTTGATTATTGGGGTCGTGTAAAAAAGCAATCCGTCACTGTTAATCTAGCTTTGTACAAGGATGTTCGTCAAGCTGGTCAGACCGACAGTCTACCATTTTCAATCAATTACTCCACTGTATGTAAAGAGGTCACTGCATTTGCCGAAAAAACATCTCATGAATCAGCTGAAGCACTAGCTGAAGGTATTGCCAAGATATGCATTAAGGATTGTAACGCTCCGAAAGTTACTGTTCGCGTCGAGAAATTACAAGCATTGCTTCACGCTGCGTTAGCCGGGGTAGAAATAACTCGAAGTGCCGAGGATTATGTTTCGCTTGCTTCCAATTCTGATGCGCTACCCGTCTCTATCCATAGTAGCCACGACATAGTGTTTGTGAAAGACTTGAGGCTTAGTACGATAATAGGCGTGAGACCATGGGAACGTGAGGAAAAGCAGGTTGTCGTGCTAAACTTGACTATTTATCCTCAATTTCGTGTGAAATCGCTTCAGAATGATGTTACCACGAATCCGTATGATTATCAGATGGTGGTGCGCAAAATATCGCAGGTAAAGACATCATGATGAATTTATGCTTGAGAAGAACCTTATTGACAGTGAATTTGTTTATAATGGATTTTAGCACGTTGGGGAGTCTAAATACTTGACAATTGAGGCATGCACTACGGCTGTTGCACATATAGCCTTAACTGAATGCCATGTTAACAAGATAACCGTTCGAGTCGAGAAACCTAACGCCATAACTTTCGCGAGCTCTGCAGGAGTAGAGATTACCCGAAGTACATTTTCGCTAGATGACAAGATGCGACGTCTCGCATTACCGTATCTGAATCGTGCAAGATTTGAATTAAAGAAGAGAGTTTATGGAGAGTCTGCTTGCGTAGACGATGTTAACGAAGATGATCACATCGTTTTTCTTGCCCTTGGTTCTAACATGGGCGATAGTATAGCAAATATTAAAAAGAGCCTGCAATTATTGGAGAAGAACAACAACTGTAAAGTACTAGACACCTCATATTTATACGATACTTCGCCCATGTATAATGTAGATCAGCCCAGATTCGTAAACGCGGCGTGTAAGGTAAAGCCAACATGACGTTACGTTCTATCGTAGGAATTATTTTTAATACAATCGCAGTACGCTAACGCCTTATTTTCAAGAAGCCTTTGTCGTCTTACAAGAATTGCGTACATTATCTTACCAGGTAGCAACAAGCCTGTCCGCGGAGGGTTTGCTCGAGTGGCTGAAAGCAATAGAGAGAGATATGGGCCGATCCAGCGATTTAGCGAGAAATAGTCCGCGGGTAATCGATCTTGACATTCTCTTTTATGATAACATCGAGTACACCTCGGAGACATTGACTATTCCACATCCTCGCATAAGTGAGCGCGAATTCGTACTGCGTCCATTGAACGAGTAAGCTTATTAATGATTGTTTATTTCGAGTATAATGCTCTTCCGTAGAATGTCGACATATTTGACAAACTTTTTGTTGTATATAGCATTGCTCGGGACATTGAACATCCGATATTATTAAGAACTTGTAACCAACTTCTCTCGCAGCTTGTAGGCTCGCCCGATTACGAGGCCAATGAACATAATGTGCGAAAGTTCATGCCGATTAGAAGCAGCAAATGGTTCTGGGGTAAAAAGACATTTATTATGGGTGTGGTAAACGTTACTCCCGACAGTTTTAGTGATGGCGGATTGTTCAATACTGTCGAGGCTGCTGTTGCACATGCAGAGAAACTCGTGTTGGATGGAGCAGATATAATCGATATTGGTGGATATTCTACGCGCCCGAATGCTGATGAAGTAGACGTGGATAGAGAAATGAAACGGGTTATTCCCGTTATTCGAGCTATACGCGAAAAGGGACATAAGGATATGATTATCTCCATTGATACCTTCCGTGCAACGGTTGCTGAAGCCGCTATTGCTGCTGGAGCAGATATAATTAATGATATATCTGGCGGCACGATGGATCCTCGGATGTACGATGTCATGGCACGTATGGACGTTCCTGTTTGTATTCAACATACGCGAGGAACACCAAAGACCATGGGTGAATTGACCCAATATGATGATGTTATAGAAGACATCTGTTATGAACTCTGTGAGCGTGTTGAACGAGCGATTCGCGCAGGAGTTAAGAGATGGAATATTATCATTGATCCTGGTATTGGGTTTGCTAAAAATGCGCAGCAAAATCTTGAAATATTACGTCGTTTACGTGATATGATTGGAGAAGATTGCCCGCTTGAAGGATTTCCTTGTCTGGTTGGACCGTCAAGAAAGGCCTTTATCGGAGCAATTACTCAAAAACCCGAGGCCAAGATGCGTGTAATGGGTACTGCAGCTGCTTGTACTGCTTGTATTTCTGGAGGTGCTGATTTGTTGAGGGTTCATGATGTGAAAGAAATGGTTGATGTCGTTAAAGTATCCGACAATATATGGCGATACAAATGACAATGCTTTTACAACATGCGGCAAGCCGTATGGATGAATTAATTTACAACTATAGCAATTTTTTTGTTGTTGTTGTTGTTGTCATTTACTGTCAATGTCTTTAGACTATGAACAGTTGACTAGGCAAAATGTAATGTACAAAGTAATATCACGTCTTTTTAAGTTATGAATTCATTTCTACGAGCTCTGCTCAAATAAGGAAACGTGAGCTTGAACAAAAGCCTTTTACATTGATGCAATCTCGATTTCAAAGATTCTATAAAAAAAAATTGATCAAGTAACTAGTGAATAGGCTCTTGTCACTTTCATTAGCGAATCGGCAAGCTAAAGGTGTTTTGTCAGCAGTATTGGCACATTCACTCTTATGATTAAGAGTCTCCTTGAAACCCGTCAACAAGGAATATTGGCAAATAGTGACGCAGATAACAGTTTCGCGTTTCCTTTGCATGGAAATTCTCTCCACATGCAATGTCAAAAGCACAGGGGTCTATTCCATTCCCTCCACTGCATACCGCAGTTAAAGAAATTCACTCCAAGAATGGAAATATCAGGTCACGATGTTGTTGATGAGCATGTTATATTAAAAACCCGTCACCACCCTGCATGAGTTTCACATGCCGATTAAATTACCTTTGTTCCATTTATGGTATTTTGTCTACCACATATATCGTGTTAATATAGCCTAAGTTGGTTACCTAAAAAAAAATTTTTTTAACGTTCAAACATAAGTGTAGTTAAATAAGAACGTCATGCAAGAGAATTCGACCGATTTTCCTCGTGTTTGCTGCGCTACCAACGGATTGCAAGAGGAACCCATCCTCTGTCAAGATGCTACAGAACTTGATGCTTTAATCTCGACAATGAAAGATCTTATGGTCGAACGTACGATACTTTGACTCTTTCCTGGTTTATCGCTATTGGATCAGAAAAAACCAACAACATTCTCGTTCTAATTTGGTTTATTATAGATGTAGACAATAGTAGAAAACCCGACGCCTTTGTAATCGACTATAAATCCCCCGAGGAATTGAAAAAACTTGTGGATCTCGAGCTGTCTGAAGAAGGCATTGGAATTGATGGTATTCTTGTCAAGAATTCCTTTTGCGCGTCTTATTTCATATCTCTTGTGCAAATTACTCAACAACATCAGGCCTCATGCCATTGTTGCAAAATGTCTTGCGTTACAGTGTGAACACCTGGAATCCGCGGTTCATGGATAAGCTCTATGCTGGGACCAACCCTGTTGGAGTCATATCAGAGATGTTGATCGCGTTACTTAATGCTAATTCGCATGTGTACCATGTATCTCCTGTGCTCACTCTGATAGAGTGTGCAGTCTCTGCAAAGTTGGCAAAGATGCTGGGTTTAGGAGAGGTACAATTCTCGTGTCAATGCCGAATTCGAAATAACTGTTAATACAGTGTCTGTCAATGGGGTTTGGGAAGTTCCAGATTCTAGCCCTCAATTTACTTCTTTTTTTGTCATTTATCAGAACAGCGGAGGGATTACTTGCGCTGGTGGATCATTTTCCAATCAATTGGCGATGATAACAGCACGTAACCATATGTTTCCAGAAATCAAAGCACAAGGATATAATCAGTTTGGCAAGAAGTTAATAGTTTACACATCTTCGGCTGGCCATTATTCAATTGTTAAGACGGCAATGGCTCTCGGACTAGGTTCTGACAATGTCGTCAAAGTCTCATGTGATGATGAGGGTAGAATGAAAGTAGACGATTTGGGTATGTAAATTATAAGTATGCGATTGTCGAAAGGCTGAAAAACGTAACTTTGCTTTAATCAAACCTCTTCGACGGTCTTTAGTGCGCTTGATAAATCGATCGATTAGTTTAGGAGACACACCATTTTTCATAAACGCTACCGCTGGAACCACAGTGCTTGTATGTGAACAAGACGATTTTTTGTTGTTTCTTTTTCTTTTTTATATGATCTTTTCCCCTGATATTCACCAGCGAACATTCTTTCCCTCACCTTTTGCTTCCGGTTCTTGTAATTGCAGGGTGCATTTGATCCATTGCGCCCTATTGGAGAAATAGCAAAGCGATATAACATATGGTATCATATAGACGGTTCCTGGGGTGGTAGTCTGATATTTTCCGAGAACAAAAAGCACTTGGTAGACGGTAGCGAAATGGTACCAACATATTTCCTTTATTTTTGACAATCTGCCGTTGACGTCGATATTAACTTGGTGTCTATTCTGAATAGAATGAAGCTACACCGGGGAGATACTAATGTCCTTTTGCAATGAATCGTCTATTTGCAGGCCGACACATTCACTCTGAATCCTCACAAGATGCTCGGTGCACCTCAACAATGTTCCTTTCTATTAGCTCGTGATCATCGCATTTTTGCTCGTTCAAATAGTCTGGGTGCCGGATACCTGTTCCACGGAAACGAGTATGACTTGGGAAACGGCACAGTTGGCTGTGGCAGAAGATCGGATTCCGTGAAATTCTTTCTAGGATGGAAGGTTTTCGGAATTAGAGGCTATGAAGCACGCATCGAGCATGCATTAAAGATGGCAAAGTACCTTGCTAACCTAGTATCCAATCATCCGCGATTCCGACTAATCATAGAGCCGCCTAGTCTTCAGATATGTTTTTGGTACATACCCGAGGGATTACCTGTGGAGCTCGAAAAGAAAGATTATAATCAGTATAAGAGCAAATTGTCTGAGATTACAAAGGAAATTCATCGAAGAATAGTGCATAGGGGCAGATTTCTATTTGATTACTCTCCTTTGACACTAGGACGTTTAGAGTTGCCTTTGTTCTTTAGGGTAGTTGTAAATGCCCCTTCTGTTAACGAGGCTCATTTAGACGAACTTATTGAAGAGATTGAGAGTATGAGTGCTGGAATTTTAGAGTGGCTTGAGGGAGAATCTATGATTGTTGATGGGAATATGAATGGAAAGCCGGTGATGGCGAATATTGATAGAGCCTCAAGCGTTAATAATAATATTTGTGTTGTAAGAGATGGGTTTATCGATAAGTAAGATGATTTCTTCTTTTATTGCTGTAAGTATTTTTGGGTTCATAAACAGATGAGTAGGGGATATACCTGCGTGCACTTTGTGATAAAATGCCAAGAATATATACCACTAAAGGAATTATATATAGAAACCTTCTGTGTCTTATTGTATTCTTTGCTTCTAGCGAGTCATCTCTGACTTTGGATGTTTAGCTTTCGTACCTACATCCCCAATCGCTTGTTTTTAGTAAGTGCGCTAGAACATAAATATTTCCAATCATTGTCGGTTTTGTCGTTCTTCGTATTTGTGAAATGTAGCATATGATTCGGAACAGGTACGTTTTGATATTTGGTTCTTGCAATTTTTGTCGACTATTAATAACAAAGAAACCCAGCAACTTTGTATACTCTATAGAAGCAAGAAAGACTAGTATTTAACTGTCACTTTGAAAGGCACAAAGAAGCATCAGAAAAGGGTTTGCTATACCTTTGAATATCTGGTCCGTGAAGAGAGAGGGCTGGCTAACCGTGTCTTTTGTGCGTGCTTAAGTAACGTCTTTATTAGCAGTCCAACAGGCTAGATCTTGGAGCGATTTATAAGATTTGGATAAAGAACGACGTTAGCATAGTTAACTGAGATCACCAGTTTGTCGAAAGAAACGAAGAGGGAAAAGTAATACTGCATATATGTAGTTTTCGTATCATTCTTACAGTGAAATTTGATGGTCTCTTATTATATTTACGCACAGGAGTTTGCCTCATAAAAGGTTAATGGGATCGTGAATAACGACATGTTAATAATTAAATGATATTTTATTGTGCAAGTCTATACGAAATCGATATAAGATAGTCTTTCCTGTCATATCCAACACTGAAACTCTTCCATTAAACGATAAATAATGCATTGAAGGATGACTATAATGTCATGATGCAATCAATGGTTGCGTACAAAGAAATCTTATTCGGTATCTTGTCGCTGGTTTGACAGTTCCTCCATAAGTGTTGAGAGAAGGTCATACACGCTTTGGTTAAATAGACTATTTATGTGATGGCTGTAGATGTAATAAACGGAGTCTTGTTAGCAAAAATTGCAAACACTCTTAAATTTTATGACAAAGACTGCTATCAGAAACCTGTGCGCTGAAATATCCTGCTGTCAAGAGTTACCGAAATGAGATCAACAGCACTTCACTTGTCTTATTCTAATACTGCATATCCTGTTCTTCTCGGTATCCAGCGCTGATGCTTGTATCATTTGACTGATTGACGGGGGGTCGTTTTGGTCAACATAAATGCATTTTGCATTATCGTCTTCCTCTTTATTTACTTGGTTATTTACAAACTTCTTAATTATTTACATGTTGAAGGATTCGTTTGAAGCATCAGAGCAATGGAAATAAAAAATCTAGCAATTCATTCTAAAGCCAAGGCTCATATAATAGTAGCAATTGATTATAGATATTCATTTGCGTCAATCAGCTAGTAGAATTGTTATTGTTGTTGAGAATGTCTGATTGACTTCCACCTGGATGTCCTCCTATAGGCGAATCTTCCATATCCGATGAACTAGACGAACTCATTGAACTAATTGACGATGATAATCCAGTCAATTCTTTTAATTTCTTCCGTGGTGTAGTCGGTCGTGAGGATGCAGAACTAGCTGCACTCGACCCTTCTTTGCCATTCGCCTTTTCTCTTTCTTTCCGTCGTTTACGGTCTAATAACCTTTGCTTAATCTGCGCTTTAATTGATAGCGGACGATGAGAATGGCTACCAGTATGGTTACCCGTATCTCCGTCCTTGGAATCTCCAAAGGATTCTGTTATTGAAACGTGTTTTCGAGGTTTAGGGATCTTGGCATCAGTGTCCTTGTTTGCTCGTGCTCGTTTCCTGGGTTTTTGTTCGGCATTTACAACTCTCTTTCTCACTTGTTTCTTTACTCCATCAGGACCATCTTCAGTTTGACGACCTTTCCCTTTTTCGGCTCTTTTTCTTGGCTCGCCGGGTGCTTTTCTTTGTCTTCCTCTCGGTTTCGATTGTTTTTTCTCTTCGGCGGATGCAGGATTTACCTTTGGTCTGTTAAGCCATTTGGTTATGTGTTCGGGTGGTGTAAAGGTTCCAGTGCCATAAAAACCAGCAGGAGCACCCGGCCGTGCTACAGCAAAGTAAGAAGGTTTGGTTCGCGTTCGCTCCTCTAGGTTTCGCATTCGGACGTCAATTTCTTCGAGTACGCTGTCTTCAAACGCGTCCTGATCCTCTGTTTCTTCCTGGGGACGAAATACCTCTGACATTGCTCCAACAAGTCCGTCCTGTTTAAGCCATTCGACACTCTCCGACCCGCTCATCGGGAGTTTAGTTTCAGGATTTACAAACAGACGCGCCGAATTATCGACTTTCCGTGAAGTTTCTATTCGTGACTCTGGAAGTCTATTTGAATGTCGTATTTCATCTTCCATCGGTGAATCCAGTAAATCCTGAACCTTGATGGAGTGTCGAGTAATGGGAATGTCATTATCGAAGCCTGAATTTACAGAAGAGGAAGACATTTTTTTAAATGCAATGTTGTGTTATCGGAGTTACTCAAATTTTAGCTTGTTGCATAAGAAATGTCACACTTAAATTTCGTCGATCCCGCTATTTTTAGCAATGCTGGGCTATTTCATTAACGGTTGAACAAAAACTCTTTACCATCATAATAATGTTACGTATACTAACCACGGTCAGGTAGTAACATTTACCGACTCTGAGTTTTGCTCATTTTAGTATTAATATGTATATGGGGCAGACTCAAACTGAACATTTAATCATGTTTAATCATGTGAGCTAAAAGAGGCTGATGTGGCTGGAAAATGAACGAATTTAGCTGATGACATTTGGTGAGGCATTGCTTAATTTCATAATTGTGGCTCATGTACCAATCCAGACTTAATTTAGTGGCATTTTAGCCCTATTACTAGTTTTAAGAATGCGACTAGCATTCGTGTACAAAGGCAAGATGAATTCACGTTCACTAAAACAAAAACACTTGCTACGACACAAAAAGACTATCTAATCGCGAGCAAAACATTTACATGTTCAAAAAGCTTTATTCAATAAAAATGGTTCGTTATATTCATCATCTAACAAGAATCTGTGTGCAGATAAAAATGCTAATCGCGTTTTCATTTGCAGAAATTCCTGCACAAAGTTGCAGAAGGTTTCTTGCTTTTGTTATCTGTGCGCTGGTTATTTACCAACCAGATCAGTTCGCACGTGGTTTGACCAATGCATGCTTCCTTTCCTATATAAACAAGCACCAACAAACTGCTGCACATAATGTGGCGCTTGACAAACTCAATGGTATTGAAGGAAGCCTCTGCGAAATACTCAAGTGGTTCAAACCAAACGATAAACATTGTTCTCCAAAACCAACCAAATCATATGGCGGAGACGTTCTAACACTCTGGGACGAGTTTAAAAAGCTCGTTGATGCAAAGAGGAAATTGGACGATATTAGTTTGTCCAAAATGTACTACAAGGTTAAGAACGAGATCGAAGACCTTGGGAAGGTTATCATCGGAACAGAGAACTGGATAGAAAAAAAAGGGGGGAATTAGTAGCTGAGCGAGTCCAAAGAATAGGGACAGTTATCGCCTTTCAAGGTAGGTCTAGGGACCGACTGCTTCTCTCCCTTGTAAGCTCGCGATGGCAGAGTATCCTCTATTTTTATAGATTTGTTGACCAGATGCGAAGCAATTTCCACTATTTCACTTTCAGCGAATGTTCTATTCAGGTGGCAATATGCCCGAATCCTATTAACCCAGCCGAACCATCGTTTCCGGAAGAGATTCCATAATAATAACAATAAATTTCAATTGTCGGTCTAAGCACTCGTGTAACTTTGTAGAGCTATTCATTGTTATCTATATACAACTTTGTGCAACTGATAAGTATAGAATTTTGATAAACAGAATCTTTTTCTACTGCTATAAATGTACGATCAATACAGCATTTGATTCCCACGCTTGATAATGAAGTCGTATCTTAAAAATTCGGATGGTTGAATCATTTCATTTGTTTGACACCTATTGCTAATGAACCATTTTACTCTAAATGGGAATGCTACAGACAAAGCGAATGTTTGACCATGTGCTTAAAACGTTTACTGTCTGCTAAGTATAATAATAAGGCATACAGTCATCCCTCATTTGTATCCCCACCCTATTGTATCCCACCCCCGGATATAACCCATCTTTGACGCTGGACGGATTTCCCCTATTTTAATTCCATATAAATTTCCCTCAGTGTATCCCACTCAGTTATACCAATACATAGGCAAACTCGATAAGAAAACATCTAGATTTGGAAGCAAAAAGGGAAGAAAATTAACCTCACTAACTAACATTCAAAAAAAGAAATTATGCGAATATAAGAGAAATAATGCAACCAAGTCATATAAAGAAATTGGTAGGAAAATTCGACATTGGCAAATCAACTGTAGGAGACATTATTAAAGAAAAAGAGAAATGGCTTGCCATTACCGAAAGCTCAATAAAACGTAACCGTGGGGGTGAATGGCCACAAGTGGAAGAGGCGTTGGCAATTTGGGTAAATGAGGCTAATCATACAATAACCGGTGCGATTTTGAGTCAAAAGGCAACGCAATTTGCTAGAAAATTAAATATTTCTGATTTCAAATCTTCAAACGAAAGTATCAATTCTTTTTGTACTGAGAGTAACGGCCGGGTTGTTATATAATCAGTCACTATTATCTAGTAATCAAATTTGACATTGATTATTGACATCTATTTATTTGATTCTTAATAGGGCTGGCTTACGAATTTCAAAAAACTAAACAATATTAAAGAATATTATAAATTAGGAGAAGCCGCAAGTGCGCCGATTAATGAGTTACCTATGTTTAGAACTGAACTTCAATCGATCATTCACAGTATGATTTGGAATGTCGACGAAGCGGGTCTCTACTGGAAATTAGAACCCCATAAATCTCTTGCCAGTGGACCTATTACCGGATTAAAAAAGCCA